CCCCCGGCCTCAATGTTGAGCTTGTCTGGATATCCTTCACACATTCCTTTTATATAGCATCTCTTTGTCTGCCACGTTTTTGTTTCTTGTCTCTTCTCATCCTTCTTCTTCTGCATTCAAGTTGTCTCTCCTGTCTCTGCCCTCCTCTCCAGTCTCTCCTCGGGTTTTGCATTCCCGTTCCTTGGGTCGAGCAAAGCACCAGGAAAGAAGAGAGAAGAAAAGACAAGTCTTACAGTTGCTATACTGTAAGCACCACCACACCTACCTAGCCCATCATGACTCTGGAACCTCGCATCCACGGCATCGGGGAGCCCAAGCTCGATGCCGTGGGCACCTTCTACGTCTGCTTCTCCGCCATCTGGACCTCCATCCTGGCCGGCGGCATGTACTTCCTGTACAGGAAGCGTGAGATGCCCATCATCCGAATCCGTGGTCTCCCCCTATCCTTTGGCGGAATCATCTTCCTCCATCTCTACTGGATCGCCGTCCAGACCGGATACATCTACGGCCCGTGGATGTCCGCCGGCGTCGAGTACTGGATCATGAGTATCTGGGTCCCGTCCGGCATCGCCCTCTTCCATGCCTCCAACACCCGATTCCTCTACGTCGCCGAGATGCAGAAGCGCTACATCACCACCACCGCCCTCGAGAGGAGGCGTTCCGCCAACAAGAAGGGAAAGACGCTGCTCGACAGGTGGCGCGCAAAGGACCACACCACGCAGATGCTTATCCTTGTAGGCGCCGGTATGGCCTTTCAGGTAAGATCCTTTTTTCTTGTTGTTGTTGTTAACCCTCCTCTCGGGAGGGCTTAAAAGGTCCCGTAAACTGACACAGAATGGATGCAGCTCTTCCTGACCGTCTTCATGTTCCTCGTCTCCCGCAAGTTCCACGATTCCTTTGGCATCCCCGGTACCGAGGTCCACGGCGACTGGGCTGCTCGTAAGGCTGCCGCCAGCAAGGGCTGGGAGTGGTGGCCTTCGGTCTTCTGGCAGTGCATCTGGGCTTGGATGGTCGCCCCCTACACCCTTTGGCGCGCCCGCCACCTCCACGACACTCTCGGTTGGAGGCTTCAGACCATCGGATGCTGCGTCGCCAGGTCAGTATGCACTCTAGGGAAACGCCTACGAGATACCGTGTGGCTGACGTGTACATCCTTGACAGCCTCCACGCCACTCCCATGTGGCTCATCGGCATCTACGTCCCTGCCATGGCTCCCGTCAACAAGTACTGGATTCCTCCTCAGTGGTAAGCCATCCTTCTCCGCCCGCCCTCGTCGACGACAGAAGAAGAAGAGGGAGGGAGAGCTGACGAGACGTTCGGGGGACTTCCAGGATCGCCGTCTCCATCATGCTCATCGAAATCTTCACCATCTTCCTGCCCTGCTGGGAGGTGCTCAAGCAGCAGTCTCTCCGCCACGAGACCCTCGACTCCATTGCCCGCTGGGAGGCCCGCAACAAGGCCGGAGTCGTCAACGGCGGCTCCCTCGACACCGGAAGCACCCTGACCAGCGGCGGCAAGAAGACGCGCAAGACCAAGGCCGGGTCCGTACAGACCAACACCTCCGACAACTCGATCCTGACCATGGAGGCCCTGGAGCACACCCTCATGAAGAATCCCGAGCCTCTCCAGCAGTTCTCCGCGCTCAAGGACTTCTCCGGCGAGAACATCGCCTTCCTGCGCCGCGTGGGCGAGTGGAAGGCCAAGTACTACCTCCCCCGCGCCGCCGGGAACGTCATGTCGGCCATCTCGGAGAAGGACGGCGCGCCGATGAGCCCCACCGCCGAGGTGGACATCCGGTCCAGCTTCGAGGACGCCCTGCGCATCTACGTCGACTTCATCAGCTCTCGCAGCGCCGAGTTCCAGGTCAACCTGTCGTCGCCCGACTTCAAGAACCTGGCCGCCGTCTTCGAGAACGCCGCCCGGATCGTCTACGGAGACGAACACAGCCCCGACCCCGCCACGCCCTTTGAGAACCCGGGGTGGCGCGTGGGAACGCACTCGTCCCACTCTCACGAGTCGGACAGGTCCGACGCCACCATCATGGAGAACATCCGCTTCTGGGGCGACATCCCGGACGAGTTTGGCGAGAACGTCTTTGACGATGCCGAGGTCAGCATCAAGTACCTCGTCCTCACAAACACCTGGCCCAAGTACGTCAAGTCCCGTCGTTCCATGGACTGTAGCGAGATGAGCCACGAGTTGGGCAACGGTCGCTGCATATTCACCTCGGAGGCGTAGGGGGCTGGCTGCCTCTTCTCCGCTTCCTCTCGTCTCTCTCCCTTCTTCTCTTCCCTGTAATATTCATCGTCTCGGGAGCGACGGGATACACGCACGCTCACTATACACAACTTATTATATATTAATGATCTGACATGCTGCCGATGAGGGCCTTCCTCTCTCCCCAACAACTCGTCTTTCTTCTCTGGGACGGCTCTCTTGAAGAGGTACTCACCTGGGCTTCTCTGCGCTGTCTATTCTCTTCATTTCCGTTTTCCCTCTGGACGCCCACAGCTTTTATTTTCTATTCCCTCTCTCCTCCTTCCTAGCAAGCGATCGGGGAGGGAAGGGAAACTCACTCATCTGGTGGTTGTTGGGACCTCTTCAAGGGTTTAAAACTCACCGTCCCATGTCTTGGGTTTGGTTTCTCATTGGAGGGGATAGGACTGATGTTTTGACGATACCTTTTTTCCCTCTTTTTTTTTTTTTTTTTTTTTTTTTTTTTAAATTATCGCCGGACGGACGGATGGGGGCCTTTTTTTTTTTTTTTTTTTAATGTGGAAAGCGGGAGTAATGGGGAGGAGAGATTAGGTCCCCAGCGGGAAAATGTCAATAAAGAGACACATGAAAACATCTTGCGAGATTCACTCTATTCGGTAACATGGAAGATCTGTCAAGGTGAATTAAATGATGAGTGATCATGATGATTTCCATTGGCGAGTCACTGAGATCACACCTTGGCTAAGACATGCATATCCACAACCTGGACACCGTCATACCATCAGGCCACGAGTGAGCGCAATATTACATACTAGTGTTGGGTTTTATATTTCTTCATGTTTATCCAATCTTTGTCTGGAAAAGAAAAAAAAAGAGAGAAAGATCCTTTGTCCTTTCCTTGAGACCTGTAGTCGTCGATAAACTTGCTTTTCTAACCTGATGTTGAAAGTTCCTCATTCGCCTTCTCCCTGCTCTTTTTGTCTTGAGCCAAGGACCGGTTGTCATGGCATGATGAAAAGCCTCTTCGTAATGCCAACTTTTCCTAGATTGTTTGGTGTGACATGTGCAAGAGGTTCGAAACCCCTCAAGAAAAAAGTTCCACGGTTGGTTTCCCCCCTCATCTCTTGTGGGATATTCCTTCTCAGTGCATGGTATATCACGCCTGCGATGCTATGATGGCATATAGATTTGCGCGGTAATTCCTATCATAGATTAGATATCCCGGAACCGTCACATATAGAACGATGCCATTTCTTGCCACGAGCAGGATCTCTTCTCCAGCGCGGCCCTTCATCTTCCTTTCAAGCTGCCGCAGTCCAGCTAGCAGGAACCACCCGGCGCACATGTTGCGATTCTCGATGTGCCCGGCACCGTGGTCCCCTTGTTCAGAGCTGAGACACCCATGAAGGAACCAGCTCATCGGACGGGACCTGCGGCTCAATGGTATCGTCGCTAGCTGTACCTAGTGCATATTGCTTGATTCTCCCTCCCCTCCGACAATCTCCATGTCACTCACCCCTCCCTCCCTCCCTTCCATCTCCACCTCCGTCTCTCCACCTTTGAAGAAAGCAGGACGGGGGGACGTGAATCTATTGCTCAGCTTTTAGCACCCCGCCTCCCCGCCCTTCAGATGGCAGATGAGTTGTTGTTTGGAGTAGCTGCTGGCCGGAGAGGACTATTGCCTCCGCACAGTAGTAATACCCTGTTTTCCGTCGAGAGGAAAATGTGACATGTCGACTTTCGGCTCTCCAGTAGGACGTGGCGACACATTCTGACCTCCCCATGACGCGGCCGGGACTCGAGATGGAATGCATCTTCTCCTTCATCACCTTCCTGGCTTAATCGTCCCATGAGCTTTCTGCTTCCCAAAAGATCGTTCGTTGGTGTGATGTGAATGTGATGCGTAGATCTCTCCTTGGGGTATGTACGATCGTTTGCCCATCTGATTCGATATCCTTCAATTCGTGGACTCAGTTTCGCTCTGCCTGTGTGGCCCCTTTGCATAAGTCCTCACGTGCTTTCCATGAGGTTTCTCCAGTTGGGGATCGTCATGTCGATGATCTCAAGCCATCTTTTCTTCTTTTCTTTTTATGCTGACGCAAGGGACGAGCGAAGAATCAGAAACACAGGGCTATTGTTCTCGACAACAGCTCGGCATGGGAGGGGGGTGGCAGATTAGTAGTGTTCCTGCTCTCCGCCACGCCTTTGGTTCGCGCCACCAAATCCGAACCCTTGTGATGATTACTCTCTGTGTCAGTCTGGGTTGTTGCCAGCTGTATCGTGAGATGCCAGCTAGGCTAGCTAGCTCTCGGCAATAGCGGTATCGCTAGGAATACGAGTTGTCCGAGGAAGGGCATAGGAACGCCAAGTATTTTTTTTTCCCCTGTTCATGGTCAACTGACTGATCATTTAGGAATATCACACATGACTAGAGAGCTGATCAAGACAGAATTGAATCACCGTCAATCAGCCTACTCTCTTTTCTCGTGAGGAGGAGGAGAGAAGAGAAGAGAGAAGTTCTCTCGTCTCCGTGCATAGCCTGCAAAGCTGCGCTCGTTGTCGAACTTCGCCATCCAACACATGATGGAATAAAGAAAATGACCCAGAAGGTACTTTATTAGCCGCCTTCTGAGACACTCCAGAAGAAGGTACCGGGGACCCCGATGCACCGGTGATCGCCAAGGTACCTGCATACGGAGATCGGGGTGAAGAATAACTGGCATGAAGGCGTATCAGGGGCAACGGTAAACTACGCAGCACCAAGCCGTCACTTACCAGAACGAGGGGGTGTTCCCTCTCTGTTTAGCACTCTCTTTTTCTTTTTCCTAACTGAGACATTGAGGAACAAGAAATGTGCATGAGCCGGGATATAAAGATGAGTGGCATGTCCGGCACAACGGTTCTACAACAGTCAAATAACCCATGCATTACCATACATACACGCCCCCCCCGGCTAGCCCTACTCTCTCGGTCCCATGTTGGCGGGATGAACAAGGTGTCAGCCTCCAATCAGTGGGCATCCGTCTCGGTAGACACATGCACGCTAGCATCCTCGTTACCTCTCTCTTCTTCTTCTCTACCATCACGCCCTGCGGGGTGGGGCAGCGAGGCGTAGTGTGTAACTGACATGAACGAGGCGTATGTGTGAACGAGCTTAGGTTGATTTTTCCCTGTTGAATTAACAATCACACAAACATGTCGCACCTCGAGAGAGATATACCTACGTCTTTGTTCGATACATGCTGTTCCCCTTGCTGGACCCTTCACCACAAGTGGAGATATCTCAGATATCTCATCGTTGAACGGCAACGACATTCCACGCTCGGCCTCGATGACCAAGACCTGCAACTTCCGTCAACTCCCAGGGCAACGCTGATATCTCCTCCCCTCTCGCACGGTTTCTCTCTCACCGTACGACGGCGCCTGAGTCTGTTGCCACAGACATTCACACTCTCACACAGACCCCACACCCCCAGCAACCGCACAGAGATTGGGCTCCCACTAAGCAACAAGCGGGACATCTCTTGAGGGATGATGATATATCTCGCCCATGGAAAAGAAAAAGAAAGAAAAAAAAGGGGAGGAGCATTGTGGAGGGAGTGGTGTGCCGCTGTTTGACCTCGTGATCCTCTCTTCCTGTCTAAGATGGGATTCAGACTCGAGTGTTTTCTCTTCCCGCGCGGGCCCTTCCTCCCGAAGGAAACGACATTCATGGCAATCAGCATTCTTTCAAAGATATAAACCCCTATCCCGGGTGTCCTTCGATCGAGGAACAGAAAAACAGACAGCAGACATCGTGGCTCAGGTACGCAACGCAATACCGACATCGACAAACAATAGCAGCCCCCCATTGTTCGTCAGCATCACCTTCTTCCTTGTCCCCCCTCCTCGCCTGCTCTTCTCATCCCTCTACTGCCTACCACGCTCCCTCGGATCATACCTGGATGGTTGCTTTCTTTGATCTTTGGAGTATCCAGCACAAAGGACAAGATGCTCTCGGAGCAAGACTTGAGCGTCATCCGCTCCTTTGAGCAGGGCACAGCCACTACCTGCCCTTACCCCACAGTCACTTCATCATTCTACCACCATGCTCTCTCCTACCCTGATGCCATTGCTGCCCGGGACATGTCGTGCTCGCCTCCCCGGGAACTCACCTACCTGGAGCTTGCCAGCCGTGCTCAGAGCCTAGCCGCCCAGCTACGTGGCCTGGGTGTAGGTCGTGGTCAGAGGGTCCCCATCCTGGTCAAGCGTGGCCTCGAGATGGTCGTCGGTATCTGGGCTGTCCTGTCGTGTGGTGCCCAGTACGTGCCCCTGGATGGCGGTGTCGTCCCCGAGACTACCATCCGCACAGTCATCGAGCAGTCTGGCGGTTCTGTCGTCCTATGCATCTCCTCCACCGAGCACCGTCTGCACGAGATCCGTCAAGACGTTGCCGTGGCCCCCGTCCTCATCGACCCGCACTGCCGGAGTGTCCGCGGCGCTGCCCTTCCAGACACCCTGCTGGACCTGGCCACTCCGGACTCTGGCTGCTATGTCATCTATACTTCCGGTATGTCTCCCGTCTATCCTCGCCTTGCCGTCTCTGCTCTTTCCTCTTCTTCGCCCAGAGCGGGACCGCTGACACCCAATCAGGTACAACGGGGAAGCCCAAAGGGGTAGACGTCACTCACAGGAATGTGGCCAATCTCGTGTGCCAGTCGCCTGGTGACCTGGGTGTCCGGCCTGGAACATGTGTGGGGAGCATTCTCAACATCAGCTTTGACATGGGTAAGTTGATTACAATGATGAGATCGCACTACAGGATAGTGTCCCAAGGGAGAGGAGGAGGAGAGGAGAGGCTGACAGACGTCAACCATCAGCGGCTTGGGAGATCTTCACCTGCATGTGCAACGGGGGTACTCTGGTCATCCGAGGCTCCAAGTGGGAGCCCACGCTGGAGCAGATCAACGTCCTCATCTGCACGCCGACCATCCTGTCCAAATACAGCCCAACTCAGTTCCCTCGCATCAAGACCGTAGCCACTGCCGGCGAAGCTTCTTCGCAAAAGTAAGTGCTCTTCCCCTCCAGAGATGATCGATCCCCTCTGCCCGTGTCGAGCTTCACGCTGACGATGAGCTTCCAGCCTGGCCGACCTGTGGGCCATGCACACCACCTACTGGAACTGCTGCGGCCCGACCGAGACGACCATCGTCAACACCATGTCCAGGCACGTCGTCGGTCAGAAGCTGTCCATCGGCAAGCCGACGCCCAACAACACCGTCTACATCCTCGACGACGACCTCAACCGTGTTCCCCTCGGCTCTGCAGGATCCATGTGGGCGGGCGGCCATGGTGTCTCGCGCGGATATGTTGGTCTCGAGTCTAAGACAAAAGAGTGCTATCTGGCAGACAAATTTGCCGACGACGGGTACGTCATGACCCCCCTCCCTCGCCCTGAAGTCATACGATCGAGGGCGATCCGTACTGACATGGCCCTTCCCCTCCAGATCGTGCATGTACAAGACGGGAGACCTCGGACAGTGGGGAGAGGACGGCGCCATCGAGATTCTGGGCCGTGCCGATGACCAGGTCAAGGTCAAGGTAAGATCCAATCATCCTTCCCCTCCAATCTCTCTGCGCCGATCAGCCGGCTCACGCAGATGGTCACATGTATAGGGCTTCCGCGTTGAACTTGACGGCATCGCCGCCACATTGGCCGCCTACCCGGGTGCCACCAGGGCGACGGCACTCCTCATCGACGGAGAGATCCACGGCTTCGTGTCCCCCGACACGCACAGCGCCGAGGCCATCCTGGAGCATGCGCGCAAGTCGCAGCCGTACTACGCTGTGCCCTCCCGAATCCACCTCCACAGCCACCTCCCGTCGACGGCCAACGGCAAGATCGACAAGAAGGCCCTCCAGGTCATGGCCAAGGCGGCCGAGTTCATCGAGAGCGAGAAGGAGCAGTTCCCGGAGAAGAGCGTGGACCTCGAGGCCAACATCGAGACGCGCTCCCTGTCGTCCACGACGACGCTCAACACCGCCGAAGCGGCCAAGCAGCTGACCGACGACATCCCCGAGAAGCGGCACGGACAGCCCTGGCGCGGACTCCGCCACCGCATCCTCATCGTGTACCGCCGTCTGTTCAGCATCGTCTGGCTCATCAACGTCGGCTTCCTGGTTGCCCAGATGATCGGTGGCGACGAGGACGACCAGTGGCTCGAAATCCTGACGGCCGCCAACCTGCTGACGGCCATCCTGATGCGTCAGGAGCTCGTCATCAACGCCCTATACACCGCGGCATGCTCGGTCCCCAGGTCGTTCCCGCTGTGGATCCGATCGCGCTGCGCCGACATCTATCACCTCGGCGGCGTGCACTCGGCCACCGGAATCTGCGCGACCGCATGGCTCCTCATCTCGACGGTGCGCTCCACCGTCGCCCAGATCACCGACGGCTCCATCGCTCACCTCAACCCCAACGGCCTGGCCGTGCTGGTGCTCTCGTGGCTCCTGTGCCTCGTCTGCACAGCCTTGGTGGTCTTTGCCTGGCCCAACTTCCGCAAGAACCACCACGACCTGTTTGAGCGGTACCACCGGTTCGGCGGCTGGACGGCCCTGGCCATCTTCTGGGTGCGCGCCGTGCTGACGATTGACGGAGAGCGCTCCCGCGCGCAGCAGCTGGCTCTCGCGCTGGTCCGCAGCCCCACCTTCTGGATGCTCGTCGTCGCGACCGTCAGCATCTCCTTCTCCTGGATGCTCCTCCGCAAGGTGCCCGTCGAGACCGAAGTCCTCTCCGACCACGCCGTCCGGCTCCACTTTGACTACACCACCCCCGTTCACGGCAGCTTCACGCGCCTCTCGCAGCGGCCCCTGATCGAGTGGCACTCATTCGCCGCGATCCCCAAGCCCAAGCCGGCCGGGAAGGGCTATTCGCTCATCGTCTCCAACGCTGGCGACTGGACTCGCAACTGCATCCAGAACCCGCCCACGCACATGTGGGTGCGCGGTCTCCCCACCTGCGGCGTCATGAGGATCGCCACGCTGTTCAACCGTGTTGTTCTCATCGCGACGGGTTCCGGAATAGGCCCCGTCCTTGGCCACGTCGCCCAGCCGTCGTGTCCCACCCAGCTGCTCTGGTCGACCAAGGACCCCGAGAGGACTTTTGGCAAGGAGATTATGGACACCATCCACGTAAACATCCCCGACGCTGTCATCCACGATACCAAGGTCAGCGGTCGGCCCGACCTTGTCCGCATGGGCTACAACATGGCCCAGAACTTTGGCGCCGAGGCCGTCATCATAATCGCCAACGAGAAGATTACCAAGAAAGTCGTCTACGGCTTGCAGACGCGTGGAATGCCTGCTTATGGCGCCATCTGGGACAGCTAAACGTCAGCCAAGCGTCAGCTGAACACACCGAATCCACACACACACACACACACACCAACATAAACAGACACCAACACACATTCACTCAGAACCTATCGGTATATTCTCCTTTTCTCCCATCTGTCTATTTCGAAAGGGTACATACATATCTATAATCTCTCTCTTCCCTCTCCTCATCATTGTCTTTCCTTTGTTCTCTAGACTCGCTCGATATCTTTTTTCCTTTGTCCAGGGTGTTACGGGTATCTGTTCCATAGGCGGGAACTTTTGACGCTAAGAGCTTGACGGGATCCACCCCGTGCGGGTTTCTTACCCTTTTCTTTCCTTCTCTTCGTTTTCTCTTCTTCACTTTTGATGCGGTCGCTCTTCCTTTCTTTTCTTTCTTATTTAATTTTTTTATATTACTTTCCTCTTTATATACTGGAAGCAAATAACGCCAAACTATCTCATACGACCTGCTTGCTATCGCTACTATCCTGTCGAAGAGTGACTAACACATAATATTATAGAGGACTGCACCTACCAAGACAAGAGTTATCCTAGATAACATGTAACACAACGCGTTAGAAAGCGTCTATTTCCGACGTTATCCGTCGGTTAACCGAGTCCGACATGGACGGGAAGGCGCGACCGCTGCAACTTCCTTAGTGGGCGGCTAGATCCGCAAATGGCGGGGCAGCATGCAGAATATTATTACGCTGTGACATCTTATCAGATCGCCTGACCAGCTTAGCCGTGCGGCGCAGCGCCCCTATTACGCGCAGTCAGCAGGCATCCGTACGCCGTGTTCCCTCCAGGACACGTTCATTTAATACCCATGGCCTTGTAGGGGCTTCTGCACAGTATCACTACCTGTGCATTCGAGTTGTCCAACCAGAATAGGAGCATAGGACGACGACGCTTGTTTGATACAAGCCGTCCCTTCCATGTTTCCCGGCCATTAATCATGGCGACACATACGGCTTCTTCGTCCGAAGACGCCCCTTTGTTAGAGTACGACTCGACGACTCGACACAGACGGCCGGAGGAAATAACGCGCATCAACGGCGGCGACGACGACGGTGCCCGCCATCGCGGGATTTTCGGTAGCGGCCCATCGTCACCCACCTCATCCCGACGGCGACGAAGCAGCTATGAAACGGCGACGACGACGAAAATCTCCTCTGGTGTGGCCCGTATGGCTTCCATTTCGGAGAGCCTGACGACAACGCAGAGGTCCGTCATATTCTTCAGCATCTTCCTGGTGGGGTATGCATACGGACTGGAGTCTCAGGTCAGGTCGGCGTACCAGCCGTACGCTACGGCCAGCTTCTCGATGCACTCGTACCTGGCCACCATCAACGTCCTGCGCAGCGTCGTAGCCGTGGCCGTGCAGCCGACGGCGGCCAAGGTGGCCGACATTTTTGGGCGGTTCGAGGTTGTGGCCTTCTCCATGCTCATGTACACGGTGGGTATCGCCATCGAGGTCAGCGCGGGGTCTGTCCAGATGTTCTGCACCGGGTCCGTCATCTACCAGATCGGCTACACGTGCGTAGTCCTGCTGCTCGAGGTGCTGGTTGCCGACTTCTCGTCGATGCGCGCCCGCGTCTTCTTCAGCTACATCCCCGCCATGCCCTTCCTCATCAACACGTGGATCAGCGGGAACGTCACGTCGGCCGTGCTCAAGGTGGCCTCGTGGCGCTGGGGGATGGGCATGTGGGCCGTCATCTTCCCCGTCGCCTGCTCGCCCCTCCTCCTGTCGCTCTACTACCTTGAGTACCGCGAGACCCACGGCCGCCAAGGGCGATTCTACAAGGGCGAATACCCCAGCCAGACGGTGGGCCAGGTCGCTTCCCGGCTGTATCACCAGCTCGACGCCGTCGGCCTCGTCACTCTGGTCTTCTGCTTCTCCCTCGTCCTGATGCCGCTGACCATTACGGGCGAGAAGGTGCATCACTGGCGCGACCCGCACATCGTCGTGCCCCTCGCCGTCGGGCTGGCCCTGATCCCGGCCTTCGTGCTCTGGGAGAAGCGCGGCGCCCGCTTCCCTCTGGTGCCCTTCCACCTGCTGACCGACCGCGGCGTCTGGGCCGCCCTCGCCGTCCGCAGCCTGCTCAACTTTGCCTGGTACACGCAGGGCAACTACCTGTACACGGTGCTGGTCGTGGCATTCGACTTCCCCATCCAGAATGCCACGCGCATCCTGTCCTTCTTCTCCTTCTTCGGCGTCATCAGCGGCGTTGCCATCGGCCTCGTCATCTACAGGCTCCGGAGACTGAAGTACATCATCGTGGCGGGCACGTGCATCTTCATGGGCGCCTTTGCCCTGCTCATCCGCTTCTCGGGCGGTGCCACCCCGGACAACCGCGCCGGTTTGGTCGCCGGTCAGGTCATCATGGGCCTCGCGGGCGGCTTCTTTGCCTACCCGACCCAGGCTTCCATCCAGGCCTCTGCGTCGCGCGAGCACGTCGCCATCCTCACGGGTCTCTACCTCTCCTTCTACAACGTCGGTAGCGCCCTGGGAACCTGCCTCTCGGGCGCCATCTGGACGCAGACCCTGCCCGGTCTCTTGAAGGACAACCTCAGCTTCCAGCCCGACGACACGCTCGCGGAACGCATGTACGGGTCGCCCTTTGACGTGGTCAAGAACTTCCCCGTCGGCACCGACATCCGCTCGGCCATCATCGACAGTTACCACCACGTGCAGTGCATCCTCTGCATCGCCGGCTTCTTCGTCTGCATACCCATGGTTGCGTTTGCCCTAGCGCTACGCAACCCTAGGCTATCGGAGCACCAAGTTCAACCCGAGGCCGAGGCCGGAGACGACGACGACGCTGACGCTAATGTCTCTGTCGGGAACGAGTACCATGACGTCGAGGGTTCCATGCGTCCCTGAGACCAGATGAAGCCGAAACGACAAGCTTGGCCTGAAAAGGCGTGGCCGTGGCTGAACAGCGTTTTCTTCGGTGAGGTGAGAGCAATACTAGCAGGTTTTGAATTTCCCCGTTGACCAGCGATGCTATATATTGTCTTCTGTGCCCGTCATTTCCATACCCCCCTTGAGCAAATTTTTTTTTCCCGCTTTCCTTGCCATTCTTTTTCTTTTCTTTTCTTTTCTTCTTCTTCTTCTTCTTATTGTCCCTTCATGGGCCCTCCACAGGGCCAGATATATTATATATATAGTTGGCATTTCCATTTCTTTTCCCCATCGGAACCTCCTGGCCAGTTCTTGGTATTTCCCTTGTCCTTTTTGGACTCATTCTCACCCCCTCCTTCTTTCCTTTCTCTCTGCCGGCATCATATACAGCCAGTCAATTGGCAATTGCAAAAAGAAGAGCACATCCAGAATACATCATACACATGTCGACTTTGACGTTCCGTGTTCCGAGGCTGTGGCAAGGCAAAGCTGAACTCGAGCGTTTCGACGTACGATCAGTAGCATTATCTCGTGGTAGTCGCATTAGTTGAAGAAATAAACAAGACTTCATTGCCGAAATGAGAAATAAAGGAAATAAATTAAAAAAAAAAAGGGTACAAGGCCTAAAAAAAGAACAGAGCCGAGTCAGCATGGCAAACAACATCAGATGAGCCATGCATATGGACGATGTGAGGCGACATGCTTGGCAGAGACTTGGCATGTCGTCAATGCCGCAAGAGGCGATGAGGGCCTAAGCGAAAGGAGACAGGCTGCTGATGCACAGCCATAGCCTAGAGGCCTAGCGCTGCATCATTACGTCGTGCGGAGGGCGGAGAGGCAGTCTAGCTATTTTATGGAGCCAGCTGTTTTGCTCGTACGAGAGTGGCGGTAGTTGAACGGAGGACCACATAATATATTAATAGAAATTAATGTTCAATCCCCAACAGTTGCATGACAGCAGAGGCATTGCGAGTTGGTATCCTTGACCAAGGTAAGGGGAAGAGAAACTTGCATGAATTTGATTGTACGGAGTGCGGGACGGATACCGAGAGTGATGGAGAATGTCATGTGGCCTGAGGCTCCAAGGTCACGTGCACAGCCAAGCCCTCTGTTCTCGTCCCGCGTCATATTTGTGAGTGACGGGATGGTAGTTAGTTAGCTAGATGATCATGGTCAGTCGCCATCTCTAATCTGTACAGATTACAGATCAGTTTCTCCTCATTTGGTCTTATACAGGTGCACGGCAGGGGAAGACGAAGAGAAGGAGAACGGGGAACCGATGTGGGGGGATGGGAAACGGCCATGTCTGCTCGTACACTCCGGGTACGGTGCGTTGCAGGTTGTTTTGGTAACGGTCATATTATCTTCACATGGGTGTTCAGCAAGGGGAGAGACGGGAACAGTACAGATTAATCTGTACAGATTACAGATTACAGTAGCAGTGCAGATTACTATTACATGTATCAACCCCCTGTGAGGGAAACAGCGGAACCAAACGAGTCAGCATGGACGAGCATCGTCACTAGCTTGATTACTCTAATCAAGACCGTTGCCGAAGAGAGCAGTTTGAGCAAGATTGATGATGGGTCGGGAAGGGGGGGGGGGGTGGTTGGGGGTTGGTGAGAGGGTAGCGATTCCTCTCGTATTCGTCCCACGAAAGAACAGGATGGAAGCAGAACAACTTTGGGGATGGGAGAATCGGAAAGGTCGACAGGGTTGCACTGGTAATAAGAAGAACAAGAATTGACAGATGGGCTCTTGAGTCTTGACGCCGAGAGATTGCCTTGCCAAGCTTCGTCTGTACTGTACACGGTGTCGATTGCTTTTAAGCATCATCCTTCCCTCGTATCTGCGTATCCTCCTCGTATTGGCCCTCCTCGGCATCGGCGGAAGAGCCAAGACTTTCTTTCTGTCGACCTCTGCTGAGACTGGACCCTTGAGACCCCACGAGACGGCTTGGACGGTGCAACTCACACGCCGACTATTACCATACGATGTGTCGATGCCATACTCAGGCTTGGGAGGAAGAGCCTAGACAAGGGAGAAAAAGGGGGGGGGGGGCGAGGGCGAAGATAAATTTAGTTAATCAAAACAAAACAAACAAAAAGCTCGTGTTCTTGATGGTGGGGTTTCTTTCAATTCTCTTCGTCGAGACGTTGTACAGTGTTTCTGTGGATCACCTGGATATACAACAATGCAACGTGGGTTATGTGGGTACGCGTTTAGTTGGGCCTTGGCGCACGGACAAGTCGGTTTTCCTCAGTGCTGTTTTTTTTATTAAAAAAAAACTCTTTTTTTTTCTTAGCTATACTCGTACTCGCTAAAGGCAGATGATTATGACGATCATTCGTGCGGTCGCCGAACCGGCAGAGAGAGGAGAAGATGCCCGACGTCATGGTTGGGTGAAAGGGGGGCAGGGGGGGCGGGGGCAGACCTGAAGGGTATCGACGACATTTTTTTATTTAAGAATCATCCTCTCCTACTTCTTCAATGTCTCTCTCCTCTTAGAATCTCCACGCACAGTCTCATCAACCCAGCCACTTTCTCTGTATCACTCTCTCTACTCCTCTTAATATCTAATACCACTCTTCCTCCCCTCCCAACCCAATCCATCGTCCACCATCCATCACATATACACACGTGCATAGCCAAACCGCCAACATGATCAGCTTCATCACCGCCGCTCTCGCCCTCGCCGGCTCCGCCGTCGCCCTGCCCACCGCCAGGGCCGCCAACGCCACCGTCGACGTCTTTGGCATCTTGGCTCTCCGCTCCGCCAGCCCCATCCACTACGGCAGCGTCTCTGCCTCGATCGGCAACCTGTTCATCAACCGCGCCCAGGACGCCGAGTGCGCCAGCAACATCTCGAGCGCCGAGTTCTACATCAAGGACGGTGGTCTCTTCCTCTACGGTGATGGCTTCTCCAACGAGACTCAGCAGGTTTACGTCGACCGTTCCGGCATGGGTATGTCTCCTCTCCCCTCCCCTCTTCCGCCCAGCACGACAGTGGCGACGACGGCAACGGCAACGGCGACGACGAAGCGGTATAGCTAACCCGGAAACAGGCCAGGGCAACGTCGGATACGTCACCTCCAACACCCCCGCTCCCCGCAGCGGCGAGCTCACCGGCTGGTCATTCAACAGCACCGGTGGCAACCGGTACCTCCAGTTTGACGGTGCCAGCCTGCTCGCCTGCCCCAGCATCGACAACTCCTACGCCCTCTGGGTCGACGTCGGCGTCGCCGCCCCCGGCGGAAGCACCGAATGCCTCGGCTTCAAGGCCCTGGCCGCCGACATTGCCAAGCCCGTCCCCTGCAAGTACAGCCCGTAAGAGGGACCCGGTCACTACCGACACTTGGAACGCACTGCATATTGCATACACATGGCGACGCATTAATACCTCCTGCCCGTATATAATCCCATTCATATTACCAGCCACCTTTATATTTAGTTTAGAAAGCATCAAAATGTGAAAATACCTTTTTTTCTCTCCTGAAGACTTGCCGCGTCGATCAAGATACCATCTCTCGTGCCTCTAGCCCCGCGTACAGTTCCATCTCCAGGTAGTCAGTGAGACGTGGTGTTTGAGACGAGTCACTCGACCCCTCGGACGAGCTCGAGTATTTGCATGTACTGATGATGACAATAACGTACGTTTTGACAATAACATACGTTTTGAATTACCCAATTAGAGCTTCTTCCTCTCTACCGCGGCTCAGGTCCGAAGAAGAGAGACTAGAGCTTCCATGAGACCCGCAAGCTCAAACCGGGGAGGGGGGACATGCGCAATGCCCTGCATGAGGAATGTATCAGGGTCCAGACTCTCTAGACTTAAGAGACAGCCCCGCCCCCCTCCCCCCCATTGGCGTATGACGCACCATCGTTGTCTTGATTAGGCAATCATCTATCTTGGGCTTTCTAACACGACAGACGCTCCCACACCTGCATGTATTCAAGAGCACGGCGCCGTCTTCGCCTGTCTTGTTCTTGCTTCTGCTCTTCTGTTTTCCTGTTCCTGTCTCTTCCTGCTGCCGGTACAAGTTGCGGACCTTTCCCCCGATATGCCTGGCTATATTTGTTCGAATCGATCTCGTCTCACTTCTGACATGGGAAGATGGCAAGGGCGTGAGCGGTGTAGTCGTATGTCGACGTTGTGATTCCACAGCGTCAGCTGACCACGCTGGCGCCTTCGGCCTTTGCTCCCGTAAGGATCGTCAGAACCGGGTTATCGACAATTCGAAGTGGAAGGGGGGGGGGGCGAGGTAAGACGGCGTGCATAAGCAATCAAGATTATGTCATGTCATCAGGACGCAGAAGAATTATTAACATCTACTATCTAGTAATGATATCTAGCAAGGAGCGGGGTTTCCGAGGCTTGCTCTTGCTCTTCGTGTGAAGATGAAATGGGTATAAATACGTGGCTAGATGCCGACGAAAGAAGGATTACGGAGAAACATATTCGACCCAGGCTCGAGCAATCCTCCCCTCCCTCCGATATTGACATCTCCCCTCTATCTGTCCCGTCTCCGTTTCGTTCGATTTACGAGAAACATTGACATCGAGAAATGCCTGTCGACACGCTCAGCCTCGAGGGCAAAGTTGCCATCGTGACCGGCTCGGGTCGCGAGAACGGCATCGGCGCCGGCGTCGCCCTCGCCCTCGCCCGCAACGGAGCCTCCGTCGTGGTACACTACGTTTCCGACTCTGTAGCGGACCGCGCCGCCAAGGTGTGCGACATGCTCCGCCAGGCCGGCGGGCAGGCCATTGTCGTGCAGGCCGCCGTTGATACGCTCGACGGAGCCCGGCTCCTCGTCGCCAAGACTCTCGAGGGCTTCAAGACGGATAGGATTGACATTCTCGGTACGTTTCTGCCCTCTTCTCCCTTTTTTTTTTTTTTGACTCTGTCAATCAGAGGCAATAGGTGGGAGGTAGAAGGAAGCAAGAACTGAGACATAAGACCGAATAGTCAACAATGCTGGTGTCGGCTTCCTCACCCCCATCACCCAGGAGCCGAACCCGGAGGAACTGGCCAGGATGATGAGCGTCAACGTCCTCGGCCCCTTCTACATGGTCAACAGCGTCACGCCCCATATGCCCCGAGGCGGACGCATCATCAACGTCAGTTCTACTGCCGCCGTCAGGGGTAACCCTGCCATTTCCATATATGCTGCGTCCAAGGCGGCTTTGGAAAATCTGACATGGACTTGGGCTGAAGAGGTACGTCATTGCTCCCCCCCCCTTTCGTTATTCCCTGCTGTCTTCCTCTCTCATTCTCCTCTTGCTTAGGACAAAAAAAAGAAAAGAGGAGGATGAATGGGTGAAAATAATACACGAAACAGAGAAACGAAGAACATGAGCCAAAGAATCAGCTAACTCTCCGTGTTTCAGCTCGGTGTGAGCAAGGGAATCACCGTCAACTCCGTCGCACCCGGTCCTGTATTTACCGACATCTATCCCGAGGGTACGGCGGAGCAGATGTCGGCTACCGAGATTTCCTTGACCCGAATCGAGAAGCGCGCCGGAACGATTGAGGATATCGGCGATTCTGTGCTCCTCCTGGTCAATGAGAAGTCGAGGTGGATCACGGGGCAGAATGTCGGCGTCAACGGGGGCGTTTCACGATAGGAAACTCTCCCCGTGACACATTGCAGACACATACATCGATGTAATCCCATCATGGGCAATCGATCATCAGTACATACCACAATCGATCAGCCATCCAAGAGCGTTTCTATATCTTGCCGTAGCTATTTCATTTCATCGTCCGTATCGGCCTCTGGCATGTTCGGAAGCGACAAAGACATTGCGTACGATCTCGCCCACAGGCATGAGAAGCCAATGTCTCTCATAACATGGCGACGAATCTGACGCTTGGTCGTATCGCCTTTTACGGATCCGGTGCTTCCGTGATGACAGATCTCTACAGGAACCGAGTCACACATCCTTCTGTGAATAGATTCCAAACATGGCATATACCAAGCAGAATAAAAGAGAGAGGAAGAGGGCGTGGCCAATCGTGGCGATGCATGGTAAGCATCGGGTAAGCGTAGAAATGTCGGATCAAACAGCTGAATGAGCCTTGCAGGAGTGGTTCTTCTATGAGGGCACCCCTGATCTGGCCGGAACAGCCTATTCCGGTTGATTACTCATCTACGTGAAGGGCCTCGTGGTAGAGTATATAGGACAGCTCATAATAGAGCTTAGGTCGGGCGACTTTTGCGTCTGATCCTTGGCCGTTTTTTGGCTCCATGGCTGTGGACAGTTTTGCCTCTGGAGGTCAAGGGTGACTTGTCTAATCCTTGAGGCTGAAGACGACTCGGAATGCGTCCTGGGGTGAGTCAGGCGAGTCCTACTTTTCTGCGCACACGCAAGAACTTTGGTTTCACCCTATTTCCATCTTGAGGAGCCAGATCAGGAGGGCATAGTTGAGATCACAGATACAAGACATTCATTCAATGTCTTCAACCCACCAGGAGCAGATGGTCGGAGGAGGAAGACGCCCGCATCATCCAGCTCTGAGCAGGTGGGGTGAAGTGGGAGGATATCTTAAAGAGGCCCTCTGGGCGAGGTGCCACGAGTTGTCGACCTCGCTACCAGAACTATTTCGAGAGGAAAAGCCAGTGGAGCGAGGATGAAGAGGACAGACTGACACAGCTCCCACGAGAGGCGAGCCCATTCCGCATCGCCTGTACAGAATGATGACGATGCTCATATTTCGGCAGACACAAGGGTGACATGTGGGCCGAGGCGGCGGAGGAGCTGGGAGTCCCATGGCGAGCCGTCGAGGCCACGCACTGGCAGCTTGGTTAGCAAGACGTGGTGCGGAGGGCTGGATCTTGCCCCGAGGGAGCGAGTGCGTGTCTCAGACCCGGTCGCTCAGACCCGGTCGAGAGGTCGGATGGGCAGGAGAATCGGCGGGTTTCCCGCCGGCAAATAACGGTCTCCTGTCACGATACCTCAATCAAGAGCCGTTGCAGTATTGCTGAAGTGAGGCCACTCTTAGCCAATATCCCCTCCGCCCAATTCCCGCTCAAAACTCAGCAGCATGGCAATTGCCGGACGCGTTCGAAGCACATTTCGATGCTCATTCTCTTGGGGAAAAGAACTTGTTCGATGACTCTGGGAAGGCCATCGATTGGTGTATATCGGCCAGCCCAAGCTTGATGGCTTCGCGTATGCTGCAAAGACACCTGAATTCCCTGGTCTGGTCAGTTGTTGTCTTGGAAGGTACGCTTCCTTTCAAGTTGAATGTACTCGACCTGTCTAGAGCACTTAGGTTCCCTGCAGCGATGAGAGACTGATCCATAAACGGAACGTGCGACGCAGCGCTCAATTTCATGGCAGGATCCTGGCACACGATGTAGCTGAAAAATTCCCTAGCTAAGGTAGAAAGAGTGTCTCAGCTAAAGAATCAGGGTGACTAGATACTAGTAGTGGTTCTGACGATTATAATGAGTCTCAGTATAGAGCGTCGTGATCATCTCTAGGGATCGTAAGTGAGCCCAGCCACGCGGGGGATCACCGTGATCCTCTTATAGTATAGAGAAATGGTCTTTAGGAGAGAAGGTAAGAAATAAAAGGCGGGGTCTCTCTCTTAGCACGTGATCTAGGCCGCATATTCAGGCCGCACGTCAGACCGGTCGTGACATTCAGCTGTTTGATCGAATAAAGGAAGCTGTTGGGATGGCACTTTCCGTACTATAAAAAAAGGGGGGCTAAATCATGCACATTTCCACCTGTTCCTTCTGAGTATTCACACTGAGTTGAGTCTGAATGTAGATCAAAAACCAAAAAAAAAAAAAAAAAAAAAAAAAAAGCACATTTCCGCCTCTTTCTCTCCCTCTCTCCCTCTCTATACCAGCAGAATCATTCATTTTACCATGTCTGCCCAAGAAGGACAAGAGGGTAACGCCGCTGGCAGTCAGCCAGACCAGGCCGAGGAGCTCACCGCAGAGCAGCGCATGTCCCACATCGAGAGCCTCATGGCTCGCCTCACGGCCAACAGCCCCATCTACAACATGCTCGTATCAACGGCCTCGCTCGTCTCCGTCACTCCGGGTGTGGTGACGACGCACCTGACCCTGACGCCCGCGCACGTCAACAGCCGCGGCGGCCTCCACGGCGCCGTGTCGGCCGCCATCATCGACTTCACCACCGGGCTCTCCATTGCCGCCTGGGACCTGCGCAGCGTCACGGGCGCCAGCGTCGACATGCACATCAGTTACCTGTCCACGGCGGCCGTCGGGGACGAGCTCGAGATCGTGGCCACGGCCGAGAGGGTGGGCGGGAATCTGGCCTTCACCACGGCCAGGCTGAGCAAGATTGCCAAGGATGGCGAGAGGAAGCTCGTTGTTCTGGGGCAGCACACGAAATATGTCAATCTTCCTAATCGAACCAAGTGAATACGAGTCAACAATTATCCTTGTATCTTTTACTTTTATTGCTAGAAACTGAAGAAGAAAAAAACTGAAAAAAAAAACTGAAAAAAAAAAGGAGAGAGAGAGAGTGAGTGAGTGAGTGAAAAGGATGTTACCAATATTCAAGATATTCAAGAAACCCCTACATTCGGATCCGATATACACCCTTCTCCTTCTCTCGGACAAAGCTCCTTCCCCAATGATGGAATTCGGATCCGACGAGCCGCCCCCACCTCCCTTCCATCAACTTCTATCAACCATATACTCTGAATTGACAACGTTGAGAGACACCACCCCAATATCGATAGATCATTCCTTTTATCACTTCCCTGTCACTTCTCGTGTACTTTGGCCTCTCTCTCTCTCTCTCTCTCTCTCTCTCTCTTTTCCAGGATGGATATGTAGATATCGGGGACAGCGGGAGGATGTCATTGCATGGAGAGGATCATATATCGAGCCGATGCATCGATGATTGTAAATGCGGTCGAGGCTTGGCGAATAGCGAAATCAACGGAGAGTTCACAACCAATTAGATATAATCCGAGGACCACAGAGATCCTCATATACGGAGTGGTGTGCCGGTCTACAAGCGGGGAAGTTGGTCTGCCGACGGCCAAAATGTGTGCCCCACATGAGCTTGGGAACTCGGGACAAAGATCGGATGCGTATGATGACTCTTGAACTGTTGAGGGTCCAGCCCGTCCGTATAAATAGGAGACTGTCTATCTGGAGGATTCATTGTTGTCATCGATTACTTGCACTCTCGCCTAGCATTCCACGGTCGTGTTGTTCCAAACTGAATACAGTAGAAAAGAAGAGGACCAACAGACAACGACCGTCACCATCACGGAAAAAAAAATATGGCCGATGAGAACATCCGTTTCCATGTCGCTGCGACAGAGGCCAGACGACTCGTGTCGGACATCCTCAAGGGGAACGGTGTCCCGGCACCCAACGCCGACATCGTCTCCCAGTGTCTGGTAGCCGCCGACCTTCGCGGCGTCGACACGCACGGCATGAACCGCGTCCCGTCCTACATGGAGCGGATCCGGCAGGGCGTCCTCGACGCGACGGCAAACCCGACAGTGGAGCAGGTGACCCCCGCGGTAGCCCAGGTAGACGGCGCCAACGGCTTCGGCTTCGTGGCAGCGCACCGGGCCATGACGGCGGCAATCGAGAGCGCGCGCATCTTCGGCATCGGCATGGCGTCTGTCAAGCACTCGAACCATTTCGGCATGAGCGCGTGGGTGGTGCAGCAGGCCCTGGAGGCGGGCATGATGTCTCTCGTCTTCACCAATTCGAGCCCAGCGCTGCCCGCGTGGGGAGGCCGCACAAAGCTCATGGGCGTGTCGCCCATTGCGTGCGGCGCGCCCGGCGGCACCCCGGACACCGACTTCATCCTCGACATGGCGCCGTCAGTGGCGGCCAGGGGCAAGATCTACAAGGCCAAGAGGCGCGGGGAGAAGATACCCGCCGACTGGGCTCTCGACGCGGATGGGAAGCGCACCAATGACCCGGAGGCAGCGCTAGGGGGCGTCATGCTGCCTATGGGCGGGCCGAAGGGGTCGGCCCTGTCTATCATGATGGACGTCTTCTCCGGCGTGCTCTCGGGCTCGGCCTTTGCGGGACATGTCACGAATCCGTATGACCCGTCGAAACCGGCTGATGTAGGTCACTTCATCGTGGCCGTCAAACCGGATCTGTTCATGAGCCTTGATGATTTCCGGGCAAGGATGAAGTACCTTTATGAGAGGGTTGTCGGGTGTGAAAGGATGGAGGGCGTCGAGAGGATATACTTTCCTGGGGAGATTGAACAGTTGGCGCAGAAAGAGAGGGAACAGACAGGGATTCCGTTGGTACAGGCCGAGATTGATGCGCTGAATGAGGAGGCGCGCAGGGTGTCTGTGAAGCCGTTGGCGATTATGGAAGATGGAGATTATTAAAAAAAAAAAAAAAAAAAAAAGAAAAAGACGATATTCAAGTCTTACACATTTTGGAAAAGCGCTTGCCACGATGTAGACAGTCATACAATGTCTCTTGAGCTCGGAAACGTACCATGATGAATACGTGACAAGCCCATTTTCAGTAGATGTAGATCCTAAAAAAGCCAGCTTCTTGTATGCGAGAGTACGATCCATACATCCATAAATGCTACATTTGGTGCCTGTCAATTCGACGAGACCCGCGTAGGGTAAATCCGTTGTGTGGCCGGCGGGCGCCGTCGGCGATGACCCGCAGCCCGCAAAGCATTAGATGGTGGGGTTGAAAGTTGGAGAAGAAGAGAAGAGGCGTCGAGAATGAGAAAAGGGCTCAGAGAAACTTTTCAAATGCAAACTGCTCCGCGGTTCAATCCATCAGGTTGATTCGTACTCATCTTGAACTCCTCAGAATCCCACTCCCGCCCTTTGGAAAGAAGGAGCGACGGTGGACGATCGACTCGGTAACAATAATCCTCGACAAGAAAAGAGCTGCTACCTCACCATCACCACCATCATGGGCACCTTCACTTTTCCCTGGCCGTCGAGCCTGCAACATCTGCCAAAGAACGTGCGAGTTCTCATCGGCAGCCTCATCGCCATCAACGCCCTCATCTGGCTTGCTGTGGCCACGCCCGTCATGGTAACGCACCCTGTCCTTGCGGCGCCTGCAGCCCTTTCGTACACTCTGGGTCTTCGTCATGGCCTTGACGCCGACCACATTGCCGCCATCGACTTGACGACGCGCCGTCTGATCGCTTCGGGCCAGCGTCCCGCGTCGGTGGGGACCTTCTTCTCCCTGGGTCACAGCACCGTCGTCATCATCACCTGCATCGTCGTCGCTGCCACCAGCGGTGCTCTGCGTGATCGCTTCGACGGCTTCTCTCGCGTCGGCAACATCATCGGCACGGCCGTCAGCGCCGTGTTCCTGATCGCTCTGAGTATCGGGAATGCCTGGGTCCTGTACCGCCTGATCAGACGTCTGCGGAAGGTGCTGGCTTCGTCGTCAAATGAGCAGGACAGAGAGTTTGGGCACCTCGACGGTGACGACGATGGTGCCGCCCAGCGCGCTGCGGGCGACCAGTTCTCTGTCGAGGGCGGCGGTGTTCTGACGAAAGTTTTCGGACGCCTGTTCAAGGCTGTCGATCGCCCATGGAAGCTGTATCCGCTTGGATTTGTCTTTGGCCTGGGTTTTGACACATCTTCGGAGATTGCCATCCTGGGTATTTCGAGCATCCAGGCTGCCAAGGGGACCAATCTCTGGCTTATCCTCATCTTCCCCGTGCTTTTCACCGGTGAGCTACCGCGTTGGAGATTTGACCTGCCGCCAACATGCTGACTAACGTATCGCCAGCTGGCATGTGTCTCGTGGACACGACCGACGGCGGTCTCATGCTGTCTCTCTACACGTCCAAGGTGTTTTCCCGCGACCCCGTGGCCATCCTATACTACTCCATTGTTCTCACCGGCATCACCGTGACTGTTTCGGCCTTTATCGGAATCATCCAGGTCCTTTCTCTCATCCAGAATGCCGCCGACCCCAAGGGCCGCTTCTGGGATGGCGTGGGTGCCATCGGCGACAAGTTTGACATTATTGGTGGCTCCATCTGCGGCCTCTTCCTCCTCGTCGGCATCGGCTCCGTGCTAGCCTACAGGCCGTGGAGACGCTACCTCGACCGCAGGGACGCTGCCCGTGCAGAAGTCTCCCGCGAGGCTGGGATTGCTGATCATCTCCGGCCGAGCCCGCGAGAGAGAACGCCGCTGCTTGAGGGAGGGCAGTGAACGATTGAACTGGCCAGTTTTGCGTTGGCCGTGAAACACACAAACATCCGCCGTCTTCTTCACGGTCCGGGCGAAAGAGGGAGGGAAAAGGCTACGCCAAGTTCTGGTGTCCCCCGTACGCCGAAAGCTTTTGGTGGACTTTGGTCGAGAGCTCGGCTGCTTGAGACGAGCTGAACGGCTGTCTGCATGTGCATGGGGGAGATGAACCTGTTGGTGGAGCACGCTCTGAGGGTTCCTACCGAGATATTACTACCAGGTCAGGATCGTAAAGGCTACAAGCAGCTGTGCTCACGTTAGAAAATGGATGCAACATGATGAAGAATCCGTACAAATATCTATGATGAACCAATTCCTCCTTCTGTTTCCCGACAGTAGCTTTTGTTTACATTGAATGCGATGGGTCATCGCTCGCGTCGGGGAAAATGCACTTCTTATCGCCAAGCTTATCAGTGTCGTCACCCTTTCCGAGTTCAGTCACACCATCAACCACTTTAACTCTTACCATCATCCTCGTCAGCATCATCTCTTTACTCATGCTATCCCTTTCCCCAGTATGGTAGAGGAGGAGAGATCTACCGAGAGGCTCCCCTCAAACTGAGTATTCTTTCAACTTCACCGTGAACAAAAAAAAAAGCGACTGTTTGCATCCCCTAAGCGTACCTCATTCCTCCCATCTATCAGGCCGAGCACTAGACAATGGCAGCCTCGCCGGGCCCGTCCATCGGCCGCGGCCGCCGTAGCGCGGCATCGTCGTCAGCATCGATAAAGCCATCTAGGGATGCGCCCTCACGTTCCACGTCTCCCCGGTCCGTGTCCAGCTTGGAAGATGCGCCGTCCATATCCATCGACACGCTGGTCAACCACCTCCTGGCTGCGAAGCGGTCCCTGTCATCGATGACGCACGTGTTGCGAGCCAACGAGATCGCCAACCAGGCGCGCACATGGCACGAGGAAGCGTGCGTCTTGTCGGCTCAGACGACATTTATCCACTACTCGGTCATTGACCAGGCGACCATACTGATGCGGCTGCGCGATGAGCTGCAGGCCACGTACGACTGGGGCAAGCGCGACTTTAAGAAGCTCGTGCGGGCCATGGACGAGTCGGACGGCTCTCTGGAGCGGACCATGGCGATGCTGAGGGGGACAAAGGTGCAGAGGGGCCTGAGGCCGGAGGACGAGGAGGGACAGAAGAGTCTGATTGATTTTGTGGACGAGGAGAGCGTGCATGGGCTACGGGAGGCGATGAAGAAGAGTATCGAGGAGCTGCAGGTTTGTCATCCCCCCTCTCCCTTGGGGAAAGAAATTTTCTTATTATTCTAACGTCCGGTTTGCGCGACCAGGGCATCCAGCAGTCGTTTGATGGTGACCTGCTGCGATTCGACACGGACATCCGAAACCTGAAAAAGATGCTTGCCGACGCACCGACCCTGACTCAGGACGACGACGAAGCGACCATGACGGACCGACTAGAAACAGTGATCGACCACTCATCGAACATGGCGCAGCTGTTGGCGTCCCTGACAATACACTTCGACATGTGCGTCACAGCGATACGAACGACAGAAGGCGCAGCAGCGGTAGCGCGACGTAAGGTGGCCGAGTCGACGCAGCAAGACGGCGACGTATCCATCTCGGGCGTCATCGCGGAGCAGGAGTCCAACCTGTCAGACCTGGAGCCCAAGACGGCCGCCGACCGCGCCGAGATGCTCAAGGTGGTGGTCCAGGACGCCGCCGAGGTGGGTGACGTGGTGCAGGAGATGGCAGATCGCCTATCAGCCATAGAGCAGGAATCCGACGTCCTGCACTCCCAGGTGGGCCGGGCCCGCGCAGCCTACGCCTCGGCCCTGGATGCCTGCGCGGCCATGGGGGAGATTGGCGACCGTCTCCCCACCTATGTGGCTGCGGGCGACGACTTCCGTCAGCGGTGGGACCTGGAGAAGGACGCCGTCCACGCCAAGCTGCACCAGATGGCCGAGCTGGGCGAGTTCTACGAGCGCTACGCCAGGGCCTACGACAGCCTCATTCTCGAGGTGGAGCGGCGCAGGGGCGTCGAGGACCGCGTCGCGGCGACCTGGCGCAAGGCCCAGGAGAGCGTGGACAAGATGCTGCGTGCCGACAGGGAGGCCCGCGAGGCCTTCCGCAACGATGTCGGTGAGTATCTCCCCACGGATCTGTGGGGGGACATGCAGGGTCCTGCGAGGCGGTACAGGGTCGTTGTGGAGGATGTCGACAGTGGCCAAGAGAGGTGATGCTTCTCTTCTTGAAATATTGGTATCTTACCATGCCTGGATCATCCTCTGTCGTATTTCCTGGTCGCTTCTGGTCTGTCCTTTTCGGTTGTGATTCCGTAGTTTAGCAAGTTACTGATATTTCCTGGGCGGCAAAGGCGCATCTTTTGCTTTTACCTCTTTCCTTTACAACTCTTGTATTCTTGGTATGGACGGTTATCGTTTGGGAGTAAATGGTCAAGGGAACAATACTATGGACAGGATAGGTGTTTGTGCTAGTAGTGAATGCTACATTGAGAACGATGTACTGATATTGAAGACGCTTGCATCCAACATGCAGGCAATGATGATGAACACCCTGGCGTGTCGTCATGACGGCCCTCATTATCCAGGCAACAATATGATCGGGGAGCGTGAATGGTCGAGGAGGGAAAGTCATGGAAGCCACTGCGTGCGATCCCTCCTCATCGAAGGCACAGCTGGCGGACGGCTGGTGAACAGCTGCGCATTTCGCACAACCGTGAATTTCGGGATATAAATACCACCCACCATTCTCGGGTCTCTTCTCTTTCAAATCTTTTCCTCTACGCAACCCCCTCCTCCTCCGGCCCTATCGCTCTCAGATGTCCGCGTATCTTCTTAGAGGGTTGGTCTTCCCCTAAGTGCAGTCTTCCAAACAGACCATACATCACCGAATAAACGTACAGCGGTCCGTCTTCCACGCCCTGCCACTGCCGACGTGGACATTCTGCCGTTTGCGCTTGAGGTACATCTCGTTTCACGGCGTGGTGATCTCAAACGTCCTCATGTCCCCTGTTCCTTGGACCCAACGTCTGCTGAATTGTAGGGTCCACTCCCCTCTGCGTGACTCGTTGATGTCGCGCCCTGCACCAAGCGTCCGAGAAAGAAGGTGTGTCATTGTCAACCGACCGCTAACGGGTTGCTAATATGGGGGAAGGACGATGTCGGTCCTTTGCAGACTCGCATCCTCAGGGACGTCAAGGCCGATGAGAGCTCCACCACTTCCGCTCCCGTCCCCGTCGTGCCGGCCGCCTGGCCATGCAGCGTCCCTCCGCGACAGGGTTCACGATGTTGAGATCAGGGACGCGAGGCACCAGTGGACCAGATCCCTGCCGATGATATACACCGGTCAGGACCGGCAAAGCGGTACACAGGGGATGCCCGCCACTCGACAGGAGTAGCATTTCATGCTGAGACCTGCCGAAAATGCTCAAAAACATGTATGGCCAATCAACAAAGAAGGGACATACTTCCTTTCACCAAAGCAGACGCCAAGAGTGACTTCGCTAGGACCCTCCGCGACAATTTTGAGACAATGATGACAAGAAGTCCGTCGGCTATAATCAGCTCGGTGACGATGGAGAAACTACAAAGGGACTCAGCATACGGCATAGTGGTGAGCCCAGCCCCGGACACAGCAGGAGCCGCAACATCAGCAGCAGTCAGGCAGTCGATGCCCAGCCTTAATTCCAGCCGGGCAGAGTTCTCTGAGAAGACCCGTATTGCGCATTCCGGGACGAATCCTCTCATATACCTTGTGCCAGGAAACGTAACTGCTCCCGACGCAACAGCAGTCAATAGCAACGACGACAACGGCACCCCGAATAAGCGAGCTTGGGGAAGTCTGCAGCCACAACAACAGCCATAGCAGAGGCCACAGCAGAAGCAATCTTTAGATGTTGAGACAGCAGTTCAACCCCCCCAACCCCCCCAACCCCCCACCTCAGTTTCATCTACTCTTGGGTGGGCAGAGTGCGCTATCGCCGGATCATCAGACGCGACATGGTAGCAATTCTACGATTCCTGCCAGGTGGGCTCGAGTAAGGCCAAGGCCAAGGCTATCCGGAGACGTGCGTTATGTTCTCCTCATCTATCGTAGCCGGATGCCTGGAAACGGCTCACGGTATGGCGTCTCTTGTGGAACTGTGGGAATTCGGCAGAATGCAGTCAGAACGAGGCAACAGAAGTGATGATGTTGATGATGATCTCTAGCTACGAATGTGGGGAAAACTCAGGATGTCAGATGTATACATGCTGACAGCATCTCTGTGCTTTTCGCTCGCGGCATCGCATATAGGCGTTGCACCACCGTACCGGCTAGTACGAGTGCAAAGGTGCCTTCTTATTGTGATCTGTAACTTGCTTGTTTCCTCGAAGCTATCTTCATTACGTAGAGCAAATAATAAGGATAAAACATGTGGTGTGTGCCCGGCAGATAGTTCTGCCGGGGCCGGGATCCACATCTCGCATGGCATCGATCATGTCCTTGATACAGTCTTTTGGAACTCTTGTGTGAATCAGCATCACCTGCATGCGTGCCTCGGAGCTAGGGATGAATGATGCTTGGGTAGGAAAACAAATCGAGAAATGATTCAGACTTCTTCTTCCAAGGTCCAACAGGAAAAAATGGGCGTTTACCTCTTGTATCTTGTAAGTCGTAATGTGAATTTAGCACGCCATCGTGCCTTTTCGTCATCTGAAGCGAGGCCGATTGGCTGCAACCCCGCAGTGTGTGATGATATGCGCCAGTGTGTGTTGTATGTGCGTATGTACAAAAGTTGGTATTCATTATTCACGGAATAATACTATGGGAGGTTTTTCCTTCTTCATTCTTTCTTTTTCCTTCTCAAGAGAAAAATAAACAAGGATGGCTTATTCCGCATCCAGTGGTGCCACAGGAGGGTTGTTATTCACCTGAATACCACCCCTCTTCGTCTCCTTGCTATCAGGCATAGGGAGGGCCCAACCGCCTTCATCCTCGGGTGTAGCCAGCCACAGACGCAGGAGATGACGACGGGGAGCGGGAGGAGCGTAGTCTGTTGTTTCGTCGTTTTGTCAGAATACTGTATGATTGTGGGAGGGGTTTGGTCGGGTTTTTATATAGGTGAATTTTGAGGTTTTGAGAAACATACCCTTGTATTCCGTCCTCGAGTGGAGCAGGTGGTTGTTTGTGAGGAACTGGATATCGCCGACCTCGAGGATCATGTGCAGGGCCAGCCTGCGGCAGGTCATCTCGAGGGTGTCGAGGGCGTGCAGCTGCCTCTCGCTGAGGGGGGGGATGATGCCCTTGTCGGAGAAGCGAGTGAGGCTCTTGACATAGTAAGGGTCCCACTTGCAGTAGACGCGGGGGTTCTGGTCGGCCGGCTTGTTCTCGAGGTACATGATGGGCTGGCGGGTGTACTCCTCCTGACCCTCGGAGACCTCTCCCTTGCGGTCAAAGTACCAGATGGGCTCGGTCAGGGTGCGGGCGACGTCGGGGTTCTCGCGCTGCAGGGCGTTCCAGACGCTGTGGCTGCTGACGATGTCGCTCTCGCCGCCCTCCTGCGCGCGGTGGAGGCACAGCAGCCCGACGATGTCGCCGTCGTCGCTGTGGAAGAACTGCCGCGCCGTTGTGCGGTAGATGCGCACCTTGTGGATCTGCGTCGCGTCGTCACCCACGTCCTTGACGTGACCGAGGACGTGGCCCCGGCCGTTCTGGGAGAGGAAGTAACCCAGGTACGTCCCCAGTCCCATGTAGCCCACCGCCGACTTTTGGACGCCCCATTCGTCCGTGGGGAAGCCCTTGAAGAGGATGAAGCCTCGGCCGTTGATGATGGTCTCCCGCAGCTCCGTGAGCACCTTGCCTAGCTTGTCGAGCTGGAAGTTTTCCTGTAATCAGGTGTGAGTGAGAGTGGTACGGGGGAGGGCAAGGAGTCGCGATAAAAAAAAAAAGGGAACATTTTTCTCCATCTTCCTTCTTTCTCCCTTCATCCCTTTTTTTCCTATCTTGAAGAAGAACGAGAGAGAATGGAGAGATCTATATGAGAAAAGAAAACATACCTTGGAGATACCAGTAAGGGGACGTCCGCTGGCCAGGAACCGATCGGCTGCAAGTCCCAGCTCGGTCACCTCCTCCTCTGTGAACCTGTGCGTCCAGAGGGACGGGTCCTTCTCGAAATCCTCCTTTGACCACACCGTCTCCCCCTCAATCACCTTGGGGAAATCCTCGTACGGTCGGAGGGCATCGTACAGCGGCGGGTGCTGGCCAGATGTGCGGATGCCGTCCGGGAAGATGGATCGGGGCGCATCCAGGTTCTTGGACGGGAAGGTAGCCGCCTGGGGCTGCTCCAGAAGAGCACCGGGGGCCATGTTGATTAATTGGGTGTATCCTCGTGAGGGCGGAGAGGTATGAAAATCTGTTGTACTACTCGTAAGAGTGTCAAGTGTACAGGTGTGTAGAAGTGAGAGGAGAGTGTGTAAGTGATAGTGTACACTTCTAGTATGGCTCTCGTTCAAGTCAAGTCGAAAAGAGTGCAGAGGAGATCGGTTATCTGATCTGGGTATTGAGGGGTATTATATAGTCTGGAGATAATCAATACTTGATAGTGCTCCGTACCGTACTCGTACGAGTGATTATCTAACCGATTAACTCACGATTGGAGAGAAGGAATACAAGATAAAAAACCACCCCTCCTAGGACGACAGCCCTTCCAAGAACATCTCTTCTTGGACTGTCCTTCTTGTAAAGGGTGTGGGGAAAAACGGGGTGGGGTGTGGAGTTGGTAAAAACTTCCTAATCCAACATGAAAATGTCGACATCGTCCGCTATTTTGCTAGTAGTACTCGGTATTAGTACGAGCCCTGGTTGGGACTTGGAAGTGCGCGCAACCGGGAGTCTGGGAACGAATTCGTCATCCCAATGCTCGAGCACGTCAGTCGGTACCTCGATAACGCGAATGGCGTGACGGTTTCACCACTTCCATAAAAAGATCGGCCCCCAATCCCAGCTCTTCTTTCTTACTTATACGATCCCATAGTCCGACCAAGGGCGAACTAAAAGAGAATCAAAGCAGGGATAAAGGCAAAAAAAAGAAGGAGAAAAAAAAGTCGGCTACGAACAGTGGCCCTCCGAGCTTCTTCGGAGCCGCTATCGGAGGTGGAGGATAGTCTCTACCCGGGGATACACCTGCACCATCTTCTGATACAGCTCCGGGTGCTCGTGTGCCAGGACCTGTGGGTCCCATCCCATACCCACAAAGATGGTCTCGATACCACTGGAGAGGGGCGTGGTGAAGATGTTGGCAATCTGCATGCCAATCAGGAAGGAAAAGGCGAGCACGACGGGGGTGAAGCCACCGTCGGTATTGTAGGCTGGTTTGGTGAAGATGAGGTACAGATAGGCCAGGAGGGCGCAGACGTAGGCGACAAAGACGCCGCCAAACGAGAGGACGGGTCCAATTAGACAGTCCTAGACAAGCAATGGTTACCAACATCATTAGCTACTGTCGATTGACGCTGACGGAGTCTCGAAGTAGACCTTGTGGATCTCGTCATCATTGTGGCTGCAGTTGACGTCTGCTTGAAAGGGGGGGGAGGGGGAGCACGATGACTCGTACGACTACGGAGCAGCACGGAGCAGCACGGAGCAGCACGGAGCAGCACGGAGGTCATGTATTACTTACATTGACTAGGGCATCGATACCGCGATCCTTGATCATGTGCCACGTGTCTTTGGCAGCAGGCACATAAGCCTTTCCGTATAGGGCAATATGGCAGAAGGCATATCGGTTAAAGAACTGGACGGCCCACTCGAGAAGGGCGATCAGACAGCCCAGGATACAGAAGATGGCGTAGCCAATCATGCCGCCCACCCCACCGTCGGTGCCGGCCTGACTGCGGGCAATGGAGCAGCAGTGACGGAGGAACTGGATGATGGCAACGACGAGGCTGCCGAGAGCAACGGAGCCGAAGCTGTAGGTGAGGGCGCGACGGGCAGCACCGCGGGTGGCGGACTTGGGGAAGCTGTTGGGGCAAAAGTACCACGACCCGTAGACGCCGGCGATGGTGGTGTGGATGGTGTTCTTCAGCCACTCGGAGAACCAGTACATGGTGAAGGTGACAAAGACTATGAGACCGATGACCCTGGCCTTGCTGCACTCGCCCTGGGTGCTGCACTCGGCGTTGGCGCCGGAAGGCTGATACTTGGCGTAAATGGCGACCAGGGTGACAGAGAACCAGGCGCCGAAAGCCGTGGCGATGAAGCCACCGATGAAGCTGACGAGGTAGACGTGGCCGAACCTCTTACTGACGTCAATGGCGGTTCGCAGCATCAGGGCGGAGAAGGGGATGCGTGGGATCCAGGTGTAGAAGCAAAAGGCCACGAACAGGCCAAAGATGAGGAAGACGATGCCGCCGCTCCAGTACCTCTTGTACAGGTAGAAGATGGCGGTACCGATGGCCCAGCAGATGTTGAGGATGCCCGTGACCCAGATGAACTGCTTGGGGAACAGACGCGCCATCCAGACGTACCCATAGCCGAGAACGATGGCGACGACGAGGACAAAGGCGAAGAGTATGATAGTGTTGGTGTTGAGCGCGAAGCTGGCAGCCCCATCGTAGATGCCCCCACCGCTAATGTTGAAGTTCTGCACGTATCCACGGATGGCGATGCCCGAGACGGCCACGAAGCCAGCACAGAAGAGCAGGAAGAGGATGCCCGCCCACAGATCATTCCATCTCGGCTTGTCGATCTTGAAGGTCTGCTCAAAGCCTTGCTTCTCGCCCGTCTCGGCCCGGTACGTGGGTTGCGGTGCAAAGTTCTGCTGAGGCGGAGGATTCGGCGGCGTCTGGTAATATTTCTGGTGGCTGTTGCCGCGATCGGCATTGGAGTAGCTGTCGGCCTCACCCATGGCGGGGGCCCTATTTGGTTGACAGTGTGGTGATATCGATGATTGTGGGTGCGTATGTGTATCGTGGTGGTTTGTTTCTGTTTTTATTCTTGTTTTGTTCTTTGTTTCTTTCTTCTTCTCCAGTACGTCGACTGATTTTGCTACGCGGTGACGTAGGAGCAGGGAAGAAGGGATAGAGAGAGAGAGGGAGGGATGGAGAGAGGGGGGGAGAGTAGGAGAAGAAGGAGAAGAATGTGGAGGAGCAGGAGGAGGAGGAGGAGGGGACAAGTAGCAGGAAAAGAGGTTTGCCAGATGGTGGACACGAAGGAAAGAACGGCTCAATGTATCACGACGGACAGTGGGAACGTATTACTAACTTCAATACGATAACAATGAAAACAATCTCAAATCCTCCCCCATCGACAAATCTCTCCTCTCCAGTCTAATCGAATACTAAAATCATAGATTCTCTTCAGCTACAAGCGAGTGTCTGATCGGTCGGATCTCAGCGTCTGTTAGCGCGCTGTAGCTGAAGGTTGGGGAGGAGCTATTCTGGGGCGTTCAGCCAATCAGATATGTCCGAATCTGCGTCTGGCGCAGCCGAAGCCGCTGGAGCCAGAACTCTTCAGGGCTATCAATGTCCTGCAGGCTACATATTACAGAGTACGGAGTGTCGTGAACAAGGCCTGTGAGCCCCGGCAGCTCTCAGCCGTTCCCAGCTGCGGCATCTGGACAGAGCCCCCCTCTGCGACATCAGAGACCCACTGTAGCTGAGGTGCGTACGCGTACCCGACGTTGTTATTGCCGACCTGGTGGTATTTACGGTCCACCGGGTCGGTAATCTACGAGGGTGAGGACTAGGTGTGTCTACTAATAATACTTGCCTGGCTATATGTATACTCGTACATCTTTATGAAAAGCAGACTGCTGTCCTACTCGGATCCGTGCGTGGTATTCCCGCCGTCTTCCCCAAGTGTCCTCACCGAACGATGACGGCATTGTTCTGTAACTTGTACTGATACTCGTACTGATACTCGTACTATTCTGCGGCAAGTGCCCTATCTGTACAAATGCTCTCTGTCGAAAACGGCAAGTCCCACTTCGCGTCTACTACTCTTGATCGTCCCTTCCGCATCCGGCCATCTCCACCCAGAGCACGGGCAAGAATCAAGATGCATCGTCAGTCCAACAGGGCAACGTCTGCTGCTACACATCAAGGCAGCAATATACGCCCAACAGCCAACTCACGATCCCCCTACTCCGACTCACCCATTCGTTCAGACTATTCTCCAACATCGGGTATACCCCGTAATACCATAATACCGCATCATACAGCATACGACTAGTAATAACTGTCCCGTCTTACCGACCGACATCGCCACAAATCTCCATGTCGGCCACCGGCGAAATGCCCACCACATTCCACCCCTTCATGCGACTCCCCCCAGAGTTGCGCGACGCCATCTAGGACCAGGCGTTGACGTCCCTCGTCATCTTCCACATCGACGGATTATCCGGCCATGTCTCATGCACCGGCCGTCTCCTCCCCCCAGGACCACCGCTATGCGTCAATGGCCGCCACAACCTCGCTGTATCCCGGGTATGCCGCTCCGCCAACAAGCGCTTCAGGACTCTCGTAACAGTAGCAGTCTACCTGGCGGGCCCCCGGTTCAGGACCTATCGTGCTATTCTCCGTATGAACAAGCACTTTGCCTCACAGGTCAAATATGTTATTGTCGAGACCTACAACCTCGGTGTCTTACACCACGCCAGATTCAACTCGAACATCCTCGAGGAACCTCTACCAAGCTACTTGAATTCCGTCTTCCCCGGACTGAGGGGCCTGCTGGCTCTCAATGTTCCACATCTTTGTCTTCGCGGCCTGATCATCGCCGTAGCTCCTGATGCGGGCTACCTCAGGTCCCCATTCCTCTACGCCCTCATAGACCGAGCCATCATGGCCAACCTCGACCCCAAATGCTACACCCGGCCCAACCTGACAGACTACCGAAATCTCCGGGACAACAATTCCTGGACAATTGACTCGGCCCAGGCCCATCCGGACCGCGTGGTGCTGGACATCATGCGCCGCAGATCCTTCCTCAGCAAACTTCGCAGACATATCGATGTCATTTTTGTCGACGCAGGCCGCCTCCATTTCATGGCTTCGGTAAGGAGCAATGAAATAGTCCAGTGGGTGTCGGAACTCCCCGCCGACCAGTTACTGCTCGACGAGGATCTGTTTCGCAGAATGTTTAGCATCGACGTGGTTCAAGACTTGCTCAGTGATCTTAGCTTGGAATTGCGGGCAGCCTTTGTCGATGCCATACGCTACAAGTTTCAAGAGGTCTATCTACGCTCCTCCACGAGCCAGATTACACACGTGGACTAGAGTTATGTTGTATCCTTTCAAACGTGGATTTGCATTCACTAGCAGAATTCATTGTTGTATTTGGTGTCTGCATCTTTCTGCCTTTTTCATTGTCCAGTTTGTGCCGTCGTAAGGATGCACCATGCGGTAGACGGAATACAACCATGGATTCGTCGTTTCATCTCACACTACTTCCCGTAGTTCTGCTTCTCTCTCATCAGGTACTGGAGCCTGACATAATTTTTGTCTTCTCCTCTCGACCGTAGCCATCCCTCGTCCCTCTTGCTCCATCCACTCCATCCGCACGCACGGACGCACACGGTGCATCATCAGCAGTCGACCGTTACTTGAGATAATATACTCTCAAGAGCGGTCACAAGTCTCGAGGATGGCGATGCGGGTCTTGGCCCAGGTCTCGAGCTGCTTAAAGTATGCTATTGAGTCCTGTCGGTTACGGTGGTCACGCAGGGAAATCCAGATACGCCGGACGTCGCGTCCGGCGCCGAGAATGGACTCGTATTCTGGTGCTTGTTTGAAGAGCTCCTAGTGGTTTGTTAGCATAATGTGTCATAACAGCGCACATGGGTGATCGATGCACTGGCGAAGGGGGCGGGGTCGACGTCCCGTTTTGTTTCATGTGAGAGGAAGAAGAGAGAAGGGGGACTGAGGACAGAGAGATGGAGAAAAAGAGGGTTGCAATGATGTGCAGAGTAGAAAGACAGCACACCTTGTAGTACTTTGCCGTGTCATTCCTGTACTCCGCCATCTTATCGGGGGCGGAGCCATCACCCCACCGTTCAAAGATGGGCTTCAAATAGTCAGCGCTGAGGACGAGGTCGGCGGTGGTGATCATCCTGGGCTCGGACAGGATGGCGGGGACGACGCAGCCGTGCTCCCAGTCGAAGACGGACGTGATGCGGGGCATATCGTCATCGTCCCTGGCCAGCGTCATATTGTGGATGCCAAAGTCGCCGTGGTCGAGGACGAAGCGGTACAGTTCCGCCTCGCGGTGTTTCTGCCTCTGCTCCGAGCCGTCCCGGGGCAGTGAGAGGGACAGGAGACGAAGGAGCGTGCGGCGGACCCCGTCCAGCACGGCGTTGCTGTCCTTGACGTCCTTGCCCTCGGCCTCGTCGCCGCCGGTGGCAAAGACGGCTTCAATCCTGGCCCTGACGAGGGCCATGCAAAAGCCTCGCGTCGGTTCGACCGCGGGGACGGGGAAGGATGTCAGGCGGCGCGCGTCTCCTCCCAGCGTTCGCTCCCACGCCTAGTCGGCTGCGAAGGTCTGGGGGAGATGGTGCCTGAATAGGGAGGCCGAGACCCGGGCAGCGCGGACGAGAAGGCAGGACTGTAGACGAGACAGGGGTTAGTCGGTGCGATGTCTCGGGGGCGGCGGCGGCGGCGGCGGGGTACCCGTGTGTGTGCTCACCTTCTGCTCTGCAGTCAACTCGCGCCAGTGACCGTATCGGTACGGGTGACCGTCTGCCTTGACGAAGACGAAGACGCGTCTTCCCTGGTTCGGCGCGACGGGCGCATGGGCAGGGGCCGTGTCGGCATCGCGACTGTACAGGGGACGACAATCGAACGGCTCGCCGAGGGCGTACAAGGCGTTGTAGGCCGCCAACTCGAAGGCGTCGTCGCTCCTCGCGCGCAGCGGGTCCGTCCCGGCTGCGACCTCCCTGTTGGTGTCGACGCGGGAGAGGCGTGCGATGAGTGTGCGTCCGTCGGCTGTGGTGATTGCGAAGCCCTGCGTTTGTCATTGCCAAGGAATGTTAGCATCGTCGGGGTCGGTGATTGGCAATCGGTGCTGCTCCGCCCTCACAAAGTTGCTGGCGCCGAAGCTGGCGTGGGGTATATCCGTGACGGAGCACTCGAGGTGCATCTCTATCTCCCGGACGAGGTGCGGGATATCGATGCTGTAGCCCAGACCTTGGTCAAAGGGACACTGGCCGCTGTTGACGCGGGGCATGAGGCCCGTGCCATCCCAGTCTGTGCCGTCGGGGTTGAGGGGCCACTGCTCGACGATGAGGTCTTTCATCTCTCTGTGCATGTCTGGGGACGAGTTGGCTGGAAAGGTGCGGGAGGAGAAATGACTCGGGTTCTTGTTGAATTTGCAGAGTGAGGTACTGTGCACATGGTCCGAGGGGAGGGAGGGGGTTGCGATTGCGAGCTGTTTTCACTTCTCAGATAGGATATCTCGAGCTCGGCTGGGCTCCTTCCATCGTTGCACCTGCTACCGCGGGTCCGGGCATGCTTCCGAGAAGTGTTTGTTGTCATCCAGGATTACTGTGCGCCTACGGCTCGTGTGCTGGTGTGCTACAGCTACGTGCCCGAGACAGCTGGCACATGGGGTCCATCCTTGCGGATGGCCGGCGGCACGGTAGATCGAGTGATCGGGGTGCGTGCCAGGTGCCAGGGACAAGACAGGAAACGGTCGATTGGAAGCTGTGACCAGCAGTAGAAGAAAGCATGACAAGTGGCAGCCTCCAGGCTCTGCATGGCCTCATCCGTACTGATATATGTTTCCATCAACGAAACACCACCTGTGCATGGATGAAACGGCACAGATATGCCAGAGAAGCCATCCAGGTGGGCGAGATACTCTGTACGCCGACGTCAACCACAAAGCTCATCAGTTCAGCACCGCGAGATCAGAAGCACGTCTGCAAGCGAAAGAGCGGGTTGGAGTTGGAATCCAAGGAAGGTGCGGCGGAGAATGAGGGGAACGTGCTTGCCGTTGTATTCGTTATTTTAATGACCGAATATCGGTCAGTAGAGACACTTTGTGAATTTCAAAGTAGGCAGAGCCAGATGGTTGGTTTTTTTTTTTTTCAAGGAGATAGGAGCTGAGATGATGTGTAGCATTATACTGGCTATTGCGTCGATTATGCGCAGCATCAGAGGGAGCAAGTACGGGGTAAGAAGCACCAGATATCAATCATTAATCGTTGGTCGTGGAGGGATGTGGCCTTGAGGTTGAAAATAAGATCAAAATTAAGATTCAAGTATAGAAATACTCCCATTCAGCCTAGTAAGAAGAACAGTACCTATACCGTCGCAAGAACGGAACCAGCAAGAGCGATGATGCTACACTAGGCAAATAATACTCGTAGAGGGAAGGGAAAGTTGAAGAGCACATTTAGATGTCTGAGAGATTTGTGGAATAGGGGCCGGGGGGGACGGCCAAAGTAGGATGGCGACGGCGGGATCCGGGTATCTGATCAAGTGGAAGATTTCTAATCTGTAGACGGGACAGAAAGAAGACTGATGGAAAGGGAAAAAAAATTTAAATGAATAAATAAAAAATAAAAACCCTGCGTCTCATCGGCGGAATCAGCGAGGGTCTATGATCCATGTAACCGCTGTGGGGGCGGACAGGTAGAGAGATGCAGGTGTGCAGCCACTACAGTCCGCGGCGCGAGTAATATGACGACGTTGTAAGTGAACTATTGCCGGAGTGCAGTGCCGAATGGAGGCTTGGCGTGAATCACGGCTCTTGTTTGTGTGCTTCGTAGCCTGTACGGGGAACGGAGGCCAGAGAGAAGCTGCATGTATAATAAAGGTTCATTTTTTTTTCTCCCACTCGGTCCTAACCGGTGGCCAATATAGAAGAGGAAAATTTTTAATTTAGCGCCACCCGGGCCACTCGACTACATAAATAATACTATACATATATCAGTACTGTAGTGCTGGTGGCCCGTAGCGTATCGATAGTAATGATACTAACAGTGGTAAAGAAGGGCTTAGTGGTGGACCGCGGTAGCAGTAGCAGTAGTGGCAGCAGTAGTGGTAGTAGTAGTAATCCCCCGTAATCCATAATAAGAGATATCCAGCATTTCACCCGCGAGAAAGAGAGAGGGAAAGAAAAACATCGCCAAATCCAACTCTCAACTTTCCCAGGCCAGGATCGGCGCCTCCGAGTCAATGTAGAGGCTAGTCAGGGCCTCACGGCCCGGTGGCATCGCAGTATTACCACCTGCCATTCAAAATAGACAGGCCAAGGCCAGGATACGTACGACGACGAGGGTGTTTTCGTGTTTTCCGCCAACGGGGCCGGTCGATGACACATTTTTTCCACATTTTTTCAAACTTCTTACAGAGTGAATACAGTAATGGCAGTAACGCCCCGTCACTCTGCGTGGAAAAACCCCTCTCAACTCTGTTTCTATATTATCATCATTACCTCTTCCCTTCTCTTCTCTTTCTTCTCCTTCTTCTCCTTCTTCTCCTTCTCCTTCTTTTTTTAAAAAAAAAAAAAATTCTAATTCCATCATCTCTTGCCAAGTCCGAAGTCGCCTTGATCTATTATTGCCTCTCCTCTCTCTCTCTCTTCTTCCTATTTACAGCTCAGGCAATATATAATAATACATTACTGCTCGCAACTTGGTCAACCTATCAGCACACACACACGGACACGCACACATAGAATAGAGAGACAGAGGCAGCTCTCCCTCCGTCCTCTCTCCCTCTTCCATCACCGACATAACAACGTAACAAGCAGTCCCCCGATAAGTCTCGGGCCGATGGGCTACGATGACAAGAACGTCGCCCTCGACAAGACGGGCGACGTCGAGACAGGCTCCCACTCTGGCCTCGAGCGCACCCTCAGCAGTCGTCACCTGCAATTCATCGCCATAGGCGGCACCATCGGCACCGGGCTGTTCCTGGGCACGGGCACGGCCCTGAGCAAGGCCGGCCCGGTCTCGCTCCTGATCGCCTTCATCTTCGTCGGCTCCGTCGTCTTTTCCGTCATGGTCGCCCTGGGCGAGATGGCGGCCTACATACCGGTGCCGGGCGCCTTCACGGCCTACGCCACGCGCTTCGTCGACCCGACCACCGGCTTCGCCATGGGCTGGATCTACTGGTTCAGCTGGTCGCTCACGTTCGCGCTCGAGCTGTCGGCGGCCGGCATCATCATACAGTACTGGGACGAGTCGCTCAGCATCGGCATCTGGATCGCCGTCTTCTGGGTCGTCTTCACCGCCCTCAACTTCCTGCCGGTCAAGTGGTTCGGCGAGGTGGAGATGTACCTGTCCCTGATCAAGGTGGTGACCATTGTCGGCTTCATCATCTTCAGCATATGCGTCAACGCCGGCGTCGGCCGCCAGGGCTACATCGGCTTCCACAACTGGGCCCACCCCGGCGCCTTCGCCGAGTACATGGCCGAGGGCGCCGGCGGCAAGTTCGCCGGCTTCTGGGCCGTCCTCGTCACCGCCGCCTTCAGCTACCAGGGCACCGAGCTCGTCGGCATCGGCGCCGGCGAGACGGCGGACCCGCGCAGGGCCATCCCCTCGGCCATCCGCGGCGCCTTCTGGGGCATCTTCAGCCTCTTCACCGCCACCGTCTTCTTCCTCGGCCTCAACATCCCCTACGACGACGCCGCCCTCCAGAACGACACCCAGGACGCCTCGGCCTCTCCCCTCGTCATCGTCGCCAACATCGCCGGCGTCGAGGTGCTGCCGTCGATCCTCAACGCCGTCCTGCTCACCGCCGTCCTCACCGCCGCCAACTCGAATGTGTACTCGAGCAGCCGCATCCTCGTCTCCCTCGCCAACTCCGGCCACGCCCCCCGGATCCTCACCCGCACCAACCGGATCGGCACCCCCATCTACTCCGTCGGCCTCTGCTCGCTCGTCGGCTTCCTTGGCTTCCTCAACCTGTCGTCCGACGGGACCGTCGCCTTCAACTGGCTCCTCAACATCGTCTCCATCGCCGGCCTCATCTCCTGGTCCCTCATCAACCTGTGCCACCTGCGCTTCATGCGCGTCCTCGAGCAGCGCGGCATCCCCCGCAGCACCCTACCCTACGTCGCCCCCCTGCAGCCCTACCTCTCCTACTTTGGCCTCTTCTTCAACGTCCTCATCGTCATCACAAACGGCTTCGCCGTCTTCATGGACTGGAACACGACCGACTTCTTCACCGCCTACATCAGCGTCATCCTCTTCGTCGTCCTCTTTGTCGGTCACAAGATCATCTTTAGAACCAAGTCTATCCCTCTGGCCGAGGTCGACATTGACTCAGGTCGCTCAGAGTACTAGACCATGAGATGCATCTTCTTTTCTTTTCTTGTTCTTCGCACCCAGCTACTGGCTTCCTTCTTCTTGTTCTTGCGCTTTTCATGTTACCATCTCTTATTGGCTGGTTGGGTTCCTTGATTTTTTTTTTTTGGGGGGGGGGGGGGGTTTACTTTTTAGCATTAGCGATCTCAAGTGATGCAATCACGGGGAGTTTGGCAATGTTTGGCATCTATATAAATAAATATATATATATATATAAATCATCAACACTTGTTCAATTTTTACCAATTCTCACACTCTGAATAATTCTTGCCCCCTCCCCCTTCCCTCTAAGCATGTTATTGGCGCGTTGTAATATTATATATATACCACGAGATCGATCCCTGGGATGATAATGCTCATACACGACCAATTGCCTACTTCGTATCACATATACGTAATACTCATACCTCCCGCCCCCCTGCAGCTTTCACATGTCAAAAGAGACAAGTTTCAATGCTGCTGCATGCTTTTGTTGAGGTCTCTAATGCTTGGCGCTGAGGCTAGTTCTACATTGGGTAAAGTGGCCATTTTTGCATTTGAGATTAATCGAAGCTTTCCGGGACTCGAAGACCAACATTTATCTCTCTCTCCGTTTTCGTGTCTTGCCACCAAAAGGAGGGGTTCATGGGTACTTGTAGATGTTCCATCTCCCTCCTTCTTCTCCATCACCCGCGGTAATCGCAGAATTTGCAAGGGAGGGGGGCCTCTCTCGTCTATTACTATGTATGTAGCCTGTCAACAATAGCCAATGGCAGTGTCCCTGATAATGACGTGATGGACGAGAGCCAATGTCAGGACATGGACAAACATAAACTTGCAGCTGTGACCCCCCCTCTCTCTCTCTCAAAAAAAAAAAAAGAGAAAAAGAGACCTACCACCTTAAAGCCGTGAGGGTTGCCTGTGTGTGTGGGGGTTTCCCAAAATACTTCGACAAGGCGGTTGTCCTCCGCCCCCCCTTCCCTACATTCAGATGTTTAAACCCCTTAGATTCTTCTCGTGGTCCTTCACGGTTGGTTGAGTTCGCGAGGATCTTCATGCTCAGCAACGGGTCCCTTTTCCGCACCGGGTCTAGTCCTCCCACCATGAACCGCGGCAGAGATGGAGCGCATACGGGCATGATTGGTACATTCCGGGACCCCGATGATGCCGCCGCCGCAACGCAGCCAAGCGGTCGATTGCTTCAAATCGGGTCATCGGCCAGGGCGAGCGAGCGAGCGAGCAAGCGAGCGACGGAGGGGAGTGAGCGACAAACCTAGAACAACCTGGTCTCAACAGTGCCAGCCTGCATCGGTCCGTCGGAGCCAGAGGTAACCTGGTGACGTCTTGCATCGCCACTTGTCTTCGCTGGAGCTTTTTTGCTTTCGTCCCTGAGTGGATTGACGGATTTCTCGTACGTACGAGTATCCTTGCATCCATACTCTCCCGATGACTGTGCCATCATCACCGTGGGGAACAGAGTGGATATGGCTGTTGGCCTGCGGGATTGAGAAAGAGAGGAAGTTCCCCCACATCACCTTACATACGCCCTCCCCCTCCCCCTCCCCCTCCCCCCATATGGCGCCCCATATGGCGGGGCTCGTGGCTGAATGCTGCTCAATCGTTCAATCTTATTATCGTTGTGTTGCGTGGCACTAGAGAGTAGAGAGAGAGAGGAGGAAGAGATAACCGGTACAGACTGTACTGAGTACTTGCATAGTATAAAATGATGATAGAGCCCAACCCCAACCGCCACCCTTGAACTGCCCCCCTCGTCTCGTGCCCTGTTTCCATACTGGGCTTACTGTTTCTGTCTAATTCTACGGCAGGCACCGCGCACCCTCTGCACCTGCCCTACCAGACCTTGTAAAATCTACTTGAACTCTTCGCTCGACATCTCTCTTTCTTTCCTCTTTTCTTCTTCTTTTTTCTTCTTTCCTTTTCCTATTTCTATTCATCTCTGTCATAGATCTTGCATCTACCTCTCATAAGAGAGACACTCATCTTTTTTCTTCTACTTTAATTGCCGTCGCCGTTTTTACTGTCGTCCTATCACACCATCACCTTAAGTCGCTCAGCAGAGACAGGCTCACCGCCATCATGGCCATCATAGATGTCAACAAAGATCTGGCTGCTCAGTTTGAGCAGCAGGCCCAGGCCACCCCTTCTGCCATCGCGCTCGAGGATGAGAGACGGACCTTGACATATGCAGAGCTCGACAGTGAGACGTGGCGTCTTGCTGACCTGCTGCGTCGCCACGGTGTCGGTCGCGACGACCTGGTGGGCGTTCTCATGGGACGCAGCGCGGATTATGTCGTGGCCTGCCTCGCTGCTCTGCGTGCTGGAGGTGCATTCTTGGTTCTGGAGCTGGCCTATCCCTCTGCTCTCCTCCGCGACGTCATAGATGATGCCAAGCCCGCCGTCGTCGTCACGCAAAAGGCCCATGCAAACCACATCAAGGCCGATGTGCCTCTCATCATCATCGACGACGAGGCTCAGAAGGCCGCCACCGAGAGACGCCTGCAGCGCGAGGAGGCGGCCGTCAGTCGCCCCCCCCTCCCCAGCGAGGACGATCTCGAGAGGCTGGCATTCGTGTCGTACTCCTCCGGCACCACAGGACAACCCAAGGGCATCGCCAATTCCCACAAGGCTGCCGTCCTCTCCTACAATGCCAGATTCGCCATCAGCGATCTCCATCCCGGTGACCGTGTAGCCTGCAATGTCTTCTTCGTCTGGGAGATGCTGAGGCCCTTGCTTCGTGGAGCCACCGTCGTCGCCGTCCCCGACAGTGCTAGCTATGACCCCATTGCTCTCGTGGATCTGCTCGGTGAAAAATCAATCACCGACACCTTGATGACCCCTACGCTGTTGACCACTGTTCTCTCGCGCCATCCCGACCTTGGATCTAAGTTGCCTAGCCTCAATAGCCTCTGGCTCAATGGCGAGGTCGTCACCACCGACCTCTGTCGCCGTGCCTTCTCTGCCCTTCCGGAAACTCGCATCTTCAATGTTTACAGTGCCAGTGAGACGCATGAAGTTGCTGCAGGTGATCTGCGCGCCTTTGTAGACTCCAGCGACCGGGTCTGCCCCGTCGGCCCCCCCATGGATCCCGACCACGTATACATCCTCGACGAGGCCGGCAACCGTGTCGAGAACGGTGTCAGCGGCGAGCTCTACGTCGGCGGCGATTTCCTGGCCAGGGGGTATCTGAACCTACCCGAGACGACGGAAAAGGCCTTCCAGATGGACCCATTCACCAAGAGGAGAAACGCGCGCATGTACAGGACCGGTGACCTTGCTCGCCTCCTGCCGTCTGGGCTTCTCGAGATCACCGGCAGGGTAGGTGGGATGATCAAGACCAGAGGCTACACCGTTCAGCCAGCCGCTGTCGAGTCGGCCATTGTGAAGCATCTTGCTGTCCGGGACTGTGCCATCGTCGCCCACGGCGAGGGGCTGGGTCGGCAGCTCGTTGCTTACATCGTCCCAGACACCGCCGATATCCGTGGCCGCACTGTCCTCATGGTTGACGAGGCTGGCTATAGCCCTGTGGCGCGCCGTGCTCTCTCGGATCATCTCGCCCACTACATGATTCCTCCGCTGTGGGTTGAGCTTGACGAGCTTCCTACCCACGGCGTCTCGGGGAAGATTGACCTCAAGGCTCTGCCTCCTCCACCGTCCCCCCGCTCTCCCAGGGCCAACGGAAATGGGAAGCTGGAAAACAATACCAAGATCAAGATGGAGACTGTCGTCAGGAGCTGGGCTGCCGCCCTCAACATCCCCCACACCACAATCACCCCCAAACACGACTTCTTCGATCTCGGCGGACACTCGCTGATCCTCGCCGATCTTGCCAACCGCTACTCCCAGGCCTTTGGCTTCCCGGTGCCCTTGGCTCCCCTGGCTGGCACCCCCACTCTCGAGGGACACCTCGAGGCTATCAGGGCCGCCCGCGACGGGCACACGGCAGCCGTCCAGGCCGATCTTCCGGCCGTGCTCGAGAAGGACTGCGTGCTTCCGGCTGAGATCCAGCCCGCTGATGCCACTTTCCGCAAACTGGGCGAGGCCGACACGGTTCTCCTCACCGGCTCCACCGGCTACCTTGGTGCCTTCCTGCTCAAGTCGCTCATCGAGAACACCTCGGCGCACATTCTCTGCCTTGTGCGCTTCACCGAGCCGACGGAGGATTGCCGCCCGGCTGGTATGGCGCGGATCCGCAAGAACCTGATTGATCTCGGGCTTTGGGACGACAGCATCCTCGACCGCGTCGAGATTGTTGCCGGTAACCTCGCCCGCAAGAGGCTTGGTCTGTCACCGGAGTCGTTTGACGAGCTGGCTGAGCGCGCTCAGGTCATCATCCATGCCGCCGCCACCGTCAACCTTGTATACCCCTACGCCGCCCTGCGCCGCCCCAACGTTGGGGGCACCCGGGAGATCCTCCGCCTGGCCTCGCGTAAGGGTGCTACCGTCCACCACGTGTCGACTAACGGTGTGCTGCCTGCCTCGACCGAGGGCTGGGACGAGAACTCCATGCTGGACATTGCCGATGTCCCGCACCGTCTGCTCGACGGATACGGCCAGACCAAGTGGGTGGCGGAAAAGCTGGTCCTGGAAGCCGGACGGAGAGGTCTGCCCGTCCGCGTGTACCGTCCGGGAACCATCAGCGGACACAGCGTGACCGGCGCGACCAACACGTACGACTTGCTCAACGCCCTTATCGTCGAGTCGCTCCACCTTGGCGTCGCGCCCAGCGTCGACGGCTGGTTCACCGAGATGACGCCCGTCGATTTTGTGTGCCAGGGCATCACCACGCTGTGCAACCACCGGGACGGCTCTGGCGGCGTCGTCTACCACCTCGGTGACCCCGCTCCGCTGAGTGCCGACGCCCTTTTCGACGCCCTAGGCGAGCTCGGATACCCGACCAGACGAGTTCCCTGGGACGAGTGGGTCGAGACTTGGCGTGAGAGAAGAGGCTCTGGCATCGGAGGCGACGAGCCCTTTACGGTAGACATTCTCAAGGGTGGTATGCCGACTGCCGAAGGTCTCAAGTCCGTCATCGTCCTCAAGGATACGGCCACCCAGGCCGCCCTGGATCTTCACGGTGTCGAGCGGATCAATATTGATAGGAAGCTTCTCGAGGTATACACGAGGCACTTTTACTCCCGTGGCTGGCTTCCGAGGCCACCTACCAAGCAGACTGTCGACTGCACGGCCAAGCCGCCTGTCAGCAAGGGCCGCCTCGCCGGTCGCGTGGCGGTCATCACCGGAGCATCATCCGGTATCGGCGCCGCAGTAGCTGCCGGCCTCTGCCGAGAGGGTGCGCATGTCGCCATTGGAGCGCGACGCCTGGACGCCCTCGAAGGCGTACGCGCCAAGCTGTCGGCCTACCCCGGCAAGGTTCTCGTGCACCGGACGGACGTGACGGACAGGGAGCAAGTGCACTCGCTGGTCAAGGCCGCCTCGGAGCAGCTCGGCCCGGTCGACATACTCGTCAGCTGCGCCGGCGTCATGTACTTTACCATGATGGCCAACTGCTACACCGAAGAGTGGGAGCGCACCGTCGACGTCAACTGCAAAGGTCTCCTGCACTGTCTGTCGGCCTCTGTCCCGGGTATGCTCGCGCGCGGGGGCGGCCACATCGTCGCCATCTCGTCAGACGCCGGACGCAAGGTGTTCCCGGGCTTGGGCGTGTACTCTGCGAGCAAGTTCTTCGTCGAGGCGACGCTGCAGAGCTTGCGTCTCGAGACGGCGGGGACCGGCATGCGGGTGACGGCGGTGCAGCCGGGCAACACGCAGACGGATCTGCTCAGCATGTCGTCTGATGCCGAGGCTGTCAAGAAGTATGGCGAGGCGTCGGGGGCGCAGATTCTGTCACCCGAGGACGTGGCGTCGGCCATTGTGTATGCCGTGTGCCAGCCTGCTCACGTGTCGGTGAATGAGGTGCTGATTGAACCGCGGGATGAACCTATTTGATGTGACTGTTTTGGTCTGTGTCTTGTCAGATATTTCCTTGTGCTTTGGTTGTCGAGATGTATTGTCTTGCGTTGCTAGCTGCTTTCCTCTCCTGTCCTGGTCACGACATGTGTTGACACCGATGTGGTGTCATAGTAAGGAGAAATACTTTCTGGCTGGTTGTGTGTCCCACTTTAGGGGGCATCGTGAATATGTGTGAAGTGTTTTTGATGCTGTCGTAAGATGATGCGCGCGTGATGTCTGTCTCCTCCGACCCATATTTTCTATTCTATGCTCCTTTCCGAGTGAAGATGCTGTGATATATTCCCTCCCCCTCTTCGTTATCGAACATGTTATTTACTCGTGACATGATAATATTGTGTGTTAGAGTTAAAGAGAGTTGTTAATATGTGTAAATGGTTAAGAGTGGGGATAAGCCTGGACTCTTGAGCTCGGCCAGACCCGAAAAAGCCGAAAAAGAGGCAAGGGTAACTCACCCCTGCCCCCGCCACACTGCGACGTCTGGGATGTCAGGCGAGCAGCCGAGCAGGGCAGCGATGGTGTGGAGGACTCGTAATGATGTAGCGTAATACCTGTATCCGTTCGTGAGCAGCATTATTAGCAGATGAATGCAGAGTATGCAGAGAAGAATCGTGGTGGTTTCCGAATGATTACACGTGTTTCTTCTCTACGTCTCCATCCAAGGCTGAAAGCGTTTCATGTTATCCCCCCCCCTTGCTTGGCATTGAGTTGGAAGAGAAGAGAAGAGAGGAGGAGACGTATCGGGGACCCATTTGGTCGGGAACATGGCCGACGCCGAATGCTTGGCTGGAACCTGTTCCTGTCTCGGCTATATTAGAGTGTAGTACGAGTACACGTACGAACGACTATACACGGGAATTGACGTGTAACAAAGTCCAAGGTTGGACGGCATAGTAATATTATGCTGTACTACTGCATACATGTAACAGCGGATACTTGTAGACACTCTTGATGGCAAAAAGTCGAAACAGTAAACAGGCGGTAATGAACGGGACGAGGGCAGAAGAGGCCCCACGAGTGTTTGAAGTCTCATGTAAGTCGGGCCAAGAAGTTTAGGATCGAGGGACCAATCTTCCGTGTAAGCCGAGGAGCCGAGCCAAGCAAATGTCAAGAGTCCAGGAATGATATAAAACCATCGAGACTTGCCGCTTTGCACCTCTTCTCTTCTTCTTCTCTATCCCATTCTTCAAAGCATCTTCAGTTCGTCTTCTCTCTCTCTCTTCTTTCGCTTCTCAGCCTTGACGGTCCCTAGGCCTGGTGCCACATTCTTTTATCTTCTCTTCTACTTCATTCATTTCACACACACGCACCGCACGTAAACAGACCGAGCAACAAACAAAACAAAAAAAAAACCCACTCGTTGAACGATAACAGAACCGATACAATGGCTCGCTTCACCACCACCATCGTCTCCGCCGCTCTGGCCGCCCTGGTCTCGGCCCACGGTTCCATCACGGACCCGCCCGCCCGTCAGGCCGGCTCCGCCTACGAGGCCGCCTGCGGTCAGCAGCCCTTCAACCAGCAGAGCGCGGACAAGAACGGCAACATCCAGGGCATCGAGCAGGTCGTCGGCGACGACTTCAACGCGGCCGAGTGCAACCTCTGGCTCTGCAAGGGCTTCCAGTTCGACGACAACACGGACAACGTGCAGACCTTCACGGCCGGCGAGACCGTCCCCATCACCGTCGGCATCACCGCCCCGCACACGGGCGTGGCCAACGTGTCGGTGGTCCAGACGTCGACCAACTCCGTCATCGGCAGCCCCCTCATCAGCTTCACAAACTACGCCTCCAACGCCGGCATGGACGCCAACAACACCAACTTTGACGTCACCATCCCCACCGACCTGGGCAGCCAGTGCGCCACCGCCGGCGACTGCGTCCTCCAGTGGTTCTGGGACGCCGCGGACATCAACCAGACCTACGAGTCCTGCGTCGACTTTGTCGTCAGCGGCTCCGGCTCCGGCACCGGCTCCGGCTCCGCCTCTTCTGCTGCTGCCTCCGTCGCCTCTTCTGCTGCTGCCTCCGTCGCCCCTGCTTCCGCCGTCCCCGCCGCCGTCACCACCACCCCCGCTGCTACGCCCACGACTTTCGCTACAGTCACCAGGTCCACCACCGCTGCCGCTGCCGAAGCTACTGACGACTGTGACGACGAGGACGTCGACGAAGAGGACGCCACTACTACCACCACTGCCGCCGCCGCCGCCGAGCCTACCGATGAATGCGATGATGGGGAGGAGGAGGACCAGACTGAGCTCGACGATGACTGCGAGTAATGTAAATCCGGGACTTTTCCCCTTTTTGTTTTTGAAAGAGAGATGGGAACAATCTTTCCACTTTATACTTTCCTTTTCTTCCTACCAGACAATGAAAAAGTAAGGAAAACATGGCCATATCGTGTGTATTCTTCTTCTTGTTTTTATTTTTTGTTCTACATTTTCATTCAAGCGTAAATAGCATATGAATGTACCTTTCTTCCCCAGCCCACCCTCCCAATCTCAGTCCCATTTCCTACGCTCAACATAGTCCGTACATGTAGGTCATGATCGTTTTGAACCCTCAACCATTTGACGGGAATTATCAATACCCATATTACGGATATACACAGTAGTATCATATCCCACATCTCAGAGAACTTGAATTGAACCCTCCCCCCCCCCACTCCAGAATCTGAACCCGGTGGAGCTCTTTCGGTTCCGACCGACGACCCCTGGTCACAGTTCACCAATGATTGTACTTCATCTGTTCCCTTCTCCGTCGCAGGTTGGAACCCCGTCCCCCTTCGTGTTGGCAAAACCAAACTACTCGAGCAAAAACGCTGGCCCCTGAATTATCCGCCCATGCCCCTGCAATACTGCATGTACCCGCAATGTACTCGCTCGTACGACACTACGAGTAATATCTTACCCCTTGGGCGGCCTAGATCCCGACCCTGGCCGGAACGTTTTATAAACATGACACGCTCGGAGACTTGATTATACGACGTGGCAGTCAGCAATACGCGTCGCCGATGAAGAGGATGCGATCCTGTACCGTCAAAATGTCCTGCATTGATCTAGAGTAGAGGGAACCATATTCAACATTTTACAACTCTCGCCTGAAAGTTGTTGACGCTTCTAGCCAAGACTGAGCCCACAAAGATGAGATACATAGGAAGAAAGAGAAAGAAAATTCATAAGAAAAAAAAAAAAAGTGTGTGGATATCACCAAATGCCGGCATAGCCGGAACATTAGATAACCCGGTCCCGTCAGGGGCAGCACCGGCCACATCAACGCCAGATTCGTAGCATCGCGATAGTCACAAGAAGAAGAAGAGGACAACCCGGATCGATGTCACATAGCATACCTGCCCCTTTGACGAAGAGGCAGTCGTGCACGTGATAGACCGGATATCAATAGATTCACCGCTGGTACCAACAAAAAGAAAAGAAAAGGAAGGAAAACGAAAAAGATTAGAAGTCATCCATCGCACATCATGACTAGCAAGATAAAGGCAGGACAGACGGAAATTCCGAAAAATTCCGAAAAAAAAAGAAGAAAGAAAGAAAAAGAAAGAAAGTCCAATCACCGTCTCGATACAAACACTCCCTCAGCTCCTCCTCCTTGAACACTCGCCTCCTGCGACGTGAGCAGAAAGTCAAAGCCGAGCTTCTTGATGTGTCCGATCCACTTCAGCCCAGGCATCATTTCTGAGCCGACCGTGCGAGGACGCTCTGCCTTGATCGTAGACCGCAGCTCCTCAATGTCAACTACCGTGGGGTTCTCGATGTGCTTGAAGTTGACCCCCACCCGGCCGTTCTCGGCAGAGTCGAGGATCGAGTCGAGGATCCAGCTCGACGCCTGCTGGGCCGGCATCATGTCCATGCGGCCATCCCAGCCAGTCAGGTCGGGGGCGATGCCGCTGACGTCGACCGGGCGCACAAATTCATCCAGGACAAACTGCGAGGTAGCGACCCTGGAAACCTGGGCGGGGAGGAAGCGGTAGATCGTCTGGAAGGCTTGATATCGAATCCCAGCTCCTCGTTGCCGAGGACGTCTCTCCACACAGACTTGAGCTGCAGCATCGTCTCAGTCAACTCCTCGTCACCGACAGCTCCCCGAGCACCAGCCTGGGTGCGACGAGGCAGGGCAATTTCCTTGAGAGCCCGGCGGTCAGTCTTGGAGTGGTTGGTCAGGGGCATCTTCTCGATCGCGATGGCCATGACGGGAACCATGTACTGCGGGATCTGGAGACGGCTCAGCAGACCGTCGAGGTAAGCCTCAGCCTCGGCAGCCGTGTCGGGTTCGTGACCGGCTGTGAACGCAACATGGGCAACAAGGAAGTCCGGGTCACCCCGGCGCAGGGACACGACGGCCTCCTTGACGACCCCCTCAGAGGTAGCGACAATGTTGCTCTCGATGTCGCTCAGCTCGATGCGGAGACCGCGAATCCTGACCTGGGTGCCGCCGGCAATACGGTTGTGGAAGACCATCGAGCCGTCATCCTGGAGGTGGCAGATGTCACCGGTGCGGTACATGCGGGTCCACCCATTGGCCACATCGTCGGCAGTGGCAAACGGGTTGGCGACGAAGAGCTTGCCAGTCAGCTCTCTGTTCTTGAGGTAGCCCAGGGACACGCCGGCGCCGCCAATGCAGAGCTCGCCTGGCATCCCCGCAGGCAGAGGCTGGAGCTTGTCGTCCACAATGTAGGCATGGTAGTTGGAAAGCGACAGGCCACAAGGAAAGCGGCCGTCAGCCATTGCCTCACGGTCGTGGTAGTCGAGCTCCAGCTTGGTGGACGAGATGGATACCTCGGTCAGGCCGTAAGAGTTGTGCAGACGAAGCTGGGGGAGATTCAAGTCGGCAAAGGCGTTGGTCAGGGCGCTTGTCATAGGCTCGCCACCACCGAATGCGGCTCGCCAGCTGGTCGCGTGCTTCAGGTGATCGATCCCGTACTGCAGCCAGAGTGAGTACTCGGCCGGGGTGGCCTTCGTGTAAGTAATCCCCTCCTCCCTGATAATCCTGGCAATCTCTTCGGGCTCACCACGCTTGCTCCAGGGGACGACATAGACGATGCCGCCATTGCTCAGTCCCGTGTAGATCTGATCGCACGAATGGTTAAAGGTGAAGGCGCTCTGCTGCAGCGTCCGCTCGGCACCAAGCTTCCACATGTTGGTGTAACCCTCGATCTCGTTGCGCAGGCCGGCATGGGTCACCACGATGCCCTTGGGCGTGCCCGTAGACCCGCTGGTGTACAGTATAGCAGCAGGTTCGTCGGCCTTGGAGACATTGCCAACGGGCTTGGATACCTCGGCACCCACAGTCGAGACATCGATGATGCTCGCGTTGGGGACGTTGAGCTGCTCAACATCGTCCCGGGTCGTGGTGTCGACGAGAACAGCAGCCGGCTCGCAATCAGATTCCACAACGGCAAGTCTCGGGAGCGGATTGCGCAGATCAAAGGTACATAGACCGCCCCGAGACGCACAATGGCCAGCATGGAGCAGATCCAGTCAGCAGAGGCAGTCTGGAACACGGGAACACAATGCCCAGCACTGACGCCCGAACTTTGCAAGGCTTCAGCAATCGCCTCGGTACGGTCGATGAGCTCCGCGTACGTCAGATGATTCCCGAGATCATCCTTGGCAGCCGGCCTGTCCTTGCTGTCTCGGGCCACGCCGTCGATGCGGCTAGGAAGAGTGGCGCTCCAGGCTGATACCAGCCTGGGGCCGCGGCCAATCTCAGTTCCCCGTTACAGCTGCTGCTTACTGAAGAGTGGCATCTTGTCGAGGGTGAGAGAGACGTCGCTGGAGAGTATGTCGAGCAAATGGACATATGTCTCAAGAAGCAGGTTGGCAGCAGTCATATCATACAATCCCGTCTGGACGCGGAACTTGATAAGGGAGTCGGTGGCATTATCCGTCACATCCAGGGTGATGTCGTAGGCAGTTCGACCGGGGTGGAGCTCCTGGAACTCAAACCGAGCATCGGCCCAGGGGAACTTCTCTTGGGCACCCTGACGGTAGTCGAAGAACGCCTGGAAGAATGGGCTGTAGTCTGGTGACCGAGTCACGTTGAGCTCCTTGAGAAGGATGTCAAAGGGCAGCCTCGAGTTGCCAAGGGCCCCGTAAGTTGTCCTGCGGGCCTCAGAAATGGCGTCGGAGAAGCGCTGGCTATCCTGGCGGCGAAATCGGAGAGTTAGCAGGTTGAGGAAAAACCCAATGCTGTTGGCGACATTGCCCTCGTTCCGATTGGCATCGGCAATACCAATGGTCAGATCGCTGGTTTCGGTGAAGCTGAACAGCATAGTCTTGAATGTGGCCAGGTAGAAGTGGAAGGGTGTCGACTTTTGAGACTTGGACATGGTCTTGATACGTGCCACCACATCGGGCTCGATCCTCTCCATGACCTGGTGGACACCAAAGTTCTTCATTGCAAGTCGCGAGGTCGTTCGTGCCATGGGGAGGAGTGGGAGGACAGGCGGCTCCTGATCATCGGGGAAGATGGTCCTCCAGTACTTGAGCTGGTCATCGAGTTCGCCGCTCTCAAGGGCCCGACGCTGGGCGCGGGAGTAGTTGAGGAACTGGCGAGGGGCAGGTCCAAGAGACTGGCCCTTGTAGGCTTTCTCGAGGTCATGAACGAAGACCTGGAAGCTGACGCCGTCCATGGTGATGTGATGGTAGTTGAAAAGGAGATAATGATCCGTGGGAGAAAGGGAAACGAGAACGAGCCGGATAAGTTCGCCGTCTTCCAGAGTGGAGACGTGCTTCTGCAGCTTGCGATACTCGACAACCTCATCCACCGACGAGGCCTTCTTGAGCTCGAGACGGACGGGGGAGCTGCTCATGACCTTTTGGTAAGCTTGGTCGGCTCTCGTCTCGTGCTCAACAAAGGCTGTTCGAAGGGTCTCGTGCCTGATCGTAACCTGGCGGACTGCTTTCTCCAAGTCACCGATTCGGAGGCTGCCGGTGACCTTGTAGTAGAAGGACACGTTGGAAGTGGTGGGGTCATCAAGAAGTAGCCTCAGGAACCAGAACCTGGACTGACCAAATGACATCAGCTCAGGCTTCAAAAACCTCCTCACCGGACGCTCTGCGGCTGGTCGTTGCGGGGGCGGAGACGACATACTGGCCGTCTTGGATGCGACTCCATCGGGTGAGCCCGACCTCGAGGTGGGCTCCGTGGCCGGCGTGGAAGCCCCCTTGGAGTCTGTGCTTATCGGAGACCTCGACCTGGGAGTGGAAGCCAAGGCACTTTTGGAGATTGGGGGGGACTTCTTAGCTTTGGCAGGCGTGGTGGCAGCTACCTTGGGAGCCACCTTGCTTGCGTCTCTAGTCCCGATGAGTGAGAGAAGTTCTTGTCCAGGGCGCGTTGACAGAGCTCGGCAACAGTCGCACCGCCCACAATCTTGAGGACCGGGACATCGGCCTGAAGCTCCTTGAGGAACCACGAACGGACCTCGACGGCAACAAGGGAGTCAACACCAAGCTCCACGAGAGAAGTCTCGGGGTTGATCTCTTGTCCCGAGATCTGCAGCATGATCTTGAGCTTGGTGGCGAAGCATTCTGTACGCAGAGTTGATCAGCTTTATTGGAATGATTTGACGGAATAAAAGTGAATGTCTGAAAACGATATTTACCTTGCAAAAGATCGAGGGCTTGGTCTTTGTCAGCTGCGCAAGCTAGCTGCTCGGATACGGGAAGAGAATTCTTCTTGCTGGCATTCCCATCATCCGACTTCGAACCGTTGGCCTCGATGATACAGTGTGAGAAGATGGCGTTGTCAAACCATGGCCCAGACTCCTCATCATCACTGATAGTGCGGATACAAGTGGTGACAACGGCAAATGGGACGATGGACTCATTGCGATCTTCAGGCCTGGGGTAGCCGGCGCGGATAGTCTCGGCAAACATCTGGCGAAACTCGGTCTCGGAGATGGCCATTAGACCGAAGCGGGTGAGCTGGTCCATGACAGCCTGCCCAGCTGTCTCGACGTATCCGATACCAGCCACTCGGCCGATATCGAAAGCAGAGGCAGCGAGGCCACGGCGACGCCTCTGACGGGCGAGGGTATTGAGGTATCCATTGGCGGCAGCGTAGTTGGACTGACCAGAATTTCCAATGACGCAAGCTGAAGACGAGAACAAGATGAAGAAGTCAAGGTCGTCGTCATGAAATATCTCATCGAGGTGGCGAGACCCATCAATCTTGGGGCCGAGAACCTTTCGGAAGATATCGGCTGACATCTTGGAGAACAAGCAGTCGTGGAGAACCATGGCCCCGTTGGCGACGCCAGAAATGGGCGGGCATGTAGCCTTGACCTCATCAACCACCTTCTCGACCGCGTTTTTGTCTGTCACGTCGAGAGAGAATACCTTGACGTCGGAGCCCGAGTCCTTGAATGATGCGAGCCACTTGGCATCGATCTTGGGGTTGCGGCTTGTGAGGCACACGCAGCCGGCTCCGTTAGCCACCATCCACTCACACAGAGACTGGCCGATCTGTCCGGTCAGTCCAACCAAGAGATAGGTCTTGTCCTTTGAGAATAGACGGTCTGACTCCAGAGGCCTGACCTCAACCTTGACATCTCCATTGAACATCCAGCTGACAGCGCTGTTGGCATTTATGACAGCGTTGTTGATATTTGCGAGCTGGATGACGAGAGATTCGACATCATCGGCAGTAGTCGCGGACGAAGCATGATGTAGAAGACCACAGAGAGATTTCTCGTCGGTATATCGAGAGAGAGACGATTGTCTGCGGTAAATTTCCGAAGAATCGATCCTCTGGCAGGTCAAAGGCAAGATGCTGGAAATGCTGACGCTGAGTTCGTTGTTCAGGATAGTCAAATCCAGGAAGTGGCTTGGCTTGAAAGGCAGCACAGATTTCCCCACAATGTGTCTGGGAGTGCGTGCGCTCAGCTTGATCCAGGACGCGGGTGCGTCGGCAGAAGAGGACGCGTCACAGCTGAAAGTCACCCGGATAGACTTCTCAGCGGCTTGACGGGATACAGCACCAGCAAACAGGCGGTCGTTTCCCGAGGCGTGGATCAGAACACTGCTCCCAGGCGACACCTTTCGAAGCAGGGCCGAAGCGAGGAGCTCAGCGACCGTCGAAACGAGCTGGGACTGCAGAGAGAGGGAAGCATCCGTGGCGGTACTAGCAACGGGAACGATTTCGCGCGAATTGGCGTCCGAGAGCGTCACAGTCGACTTGCCGCCCTCCTTTCCTATGCCGACAAAGAGGAAGCTATCGACGGCAACATTGATGGCATGCACAGACGAGAGGTCTACCTTGACAACACCTTCGGTGCTGTTTTTGACCCTAGATGTGGGAATGGACTGCTCAATGAGGGCGAGGGACCCGGAGTCTGAGGCAGATAAGAACATGTCGGACTCGGCGGTTGCCGAAGTGGTAATGACGCGACGGGCCGAGTTGAGCCTGGAATTCTGGCCGACATTGTCAACCAGGCGAGGAATCTTGAGCAGACCACGCTCCAGATAGGTCTCGGGCTCCTTGGACCAGATGATTTTGTCGTTTTCGTTGCGGTAGCCCGTCCCACCGCCCCACTCCATAAGAGCACACTGGCGCAGGAGGTGCTCGACTATGGACTTGGATACATTGTCATCAAGGTCCGAGACGTCGAGGTGGTTCATGTTGATGTGGCCCGTCTCGTGGTGAATCGAACGGCTAAAGGTGATACTGGCCATGTGGTACGGTTCTTCGGTCTGAGCCCTGTGCGTCACCCACAGAATGTTCTTTGCAAGCTCGTAGACGCGGTTGAGACCTTCAATCGTATCTGACGTCACATCTTGGAAGATCGGGGTGTCAATGTCGACAAGGTTGATGAAGGTGCTCATGGGTGCCAACGAGGCAGCCTCGTCCTCGGTAGGCAAACCATCAAGGGTGATGATTTCACCTGAAAATCGCTCCAGTATCTCCGTGATCTCCTCGGCAATACGGGATCCCTCGAGGCTCGTGCCTCCAAGAATAACAACACTCTCCAGAAAGACGGTGGTGGATGAGGAGGACTTGGACTTGCGGGTTAAGGGCTTGCGCAGAAAGTCGACGCGCTCGTCCACAGCTTGTGACGCGATGATGGAGAATGGCCAAGCGAGCGTGTCAATCTCAGGCGTTATGGCGTCGACACCACCGAACCCGGCCTTGCGGAGGCAGCTGTGCCACTGGCTGGGGGTCATTGTCGGAGCATACTTGCGACCGTCGTCCACACCAAGCCACCAGCCTGCCAGGCCACCCATGATGTTGCTGAAGCGCACGGGGCCATTGCTGGTCAGCTCTAAGAGCATCAGGTAACCACCGGGCTTCAAGAGTTGGCGTGTGTGCTCTAGCGTCTTCTGCATCGAAGACGTGGCATGCAAGACATTGGAAGCAATAACGATATCATAAGCGCCCGTCTGGTATCCCTGGGTGGAGGGGCTCTTTTCAACATCTAGGGTCTTGAAAGTCATCTTGTCGCTGTACTCCTTGAAGATCTCTGTCGCCTTCTCGAAGAAACCGACCGAGATATCGGTGTACGTGTACGACGACATCTTGTGGCCGATAGAATTCAGCACGGCAGCGGTGGCACCGCCTGTTCCGGCACCAATCTCAAGAATCTTAGCATGAGGGTAGCGGTGGACCAACTGCTTCATCATACGCGCCAGGAAGGTGTTGTAGGTTGCGAACCCAAGACCCTTCTTATAGAAGTCATTGAGCAGGTTGTTGGGAAGCATGTGCTCGAGAATGGTCGTCTCACCCCGTACAGCAGCTGGGATATTCTCACCCACAGCACGGAGGAGATTGATGTCGACATCGTTGGGGAACTCGCTGGTAAGAGAATTGATATCCTCAGGGGTATCGCCCATCCACTGCTTCTTGATGGTCGGGTGGCGGCCCCGTGTCACAAGGTCGAGCACGTAGTTCATGTAGTCTCGCAGAGCAGAGTAGTGAGGCTGGCCATCGGCCCAATCCTCATCAGCGATCTCGGCCTTCCACTTGCGAAGATAGTAGAGGGAGACACGCTCGCAGAGAGCAGCGATGGCGGCCTCGGAAGCTGTGGGACAAGTGCCTTGAACCACGGACGCACCATCTGGCGAGGCAACATCCAGCTTCGTCCACGAGAACAGACGGCGGTCGTCGGCAGCCGTGGCGGGAGCAAAGGGCTTGATCTCCAAGTCCTCGACCTGAACCATGGCCAAGGAGCCATCTTCATTGAACAAGTCGATACTTGCGGAGAACTCTCTAGTATCGGAGAGAACCGAGCAGACGGGAATCTTGGTCTGGGACAGGGGAAGTGTGCCGCAGACCTCGGGGTTCAGACGGATGCTGCGGATAGCTGTCGGCACATGCAGGGACCACAGACGCTCATCGCCAGGGGCGGAAAAGGCCAGCATGGACGCCTGAAAAGCAACGTCCAGCCAAGTGGGGTGCACCAGGTAGACAGTCGAGTCAGAATCCTGATACGGGTACGTATCAACCATGACGGAGGACTGGTTCAGTCGGCGTTTGAGAGACGACATGCCTCGGAACGTCTGGTAGTAGCCGTAGCCGAGCCTGGAGAGCGAGGCGTAGAACCTGTCGGTATCGACGGCCACCATGTTGGAGTCGGGGAGGCGAGTGGAGGACAGAGTATCAAGATGCGGCTCTCCGACAGAGATTCTGATGTTTCCACTGGCCGTAAGCTCCATCTCCTGCTCAGCACCGGAAACAGGGCAAGAGTAGAGAGCAAAGTCAGCAGTTGTATCTTTGCCGACAGTAGTGATTCCGGTCAAGGTAACGAGAATCTCGACGCCAGTGTTGGTGTCATCCTCGAAAGTGATGGCGCGGGGAATGGAGAGGTTGTGAAGCTCCAGAACTTCTACAGCAGAATCACCGGCGACTGACCTGGCTGCCTCGATAGCAACGGCACAGTACCCGGCAGCAGGAAAGACGGTCTGGCCCTGGAGCTGGTGGCCCTCCATCCAGGGGATCTCAGACGCCTTGAGGACGTTTTGCCAGCGCACCTCACGATCGGTCGAGTCGGGGCACCGGACACCAAGGAGCTCATGGAAGGGCTGGGGGCGTCCACGGATCTTGCGAGACCGTCGAGACTCGAGCCAGTGAGCCCTGGCGTGGTTCCACTTGTAAGAAGGTAGACCGACGACAAGCTTGGGATCCGAGGTGGTTCCAGAAACAAGCCTCTCGTAAGAGGAGAAGTCGACGCCCTGTGAGCCAAACAGGTTCCAGACAAAGCCCAGGGCATCCGAGAAGGAATGAACACCGCTCTTCCCGCGGCTGAGAATGCCAGTGTACGGCAGAGGGGTGCTGCGAACCTCACCAATGTTTTGCGCAGCGGGTCCCTTCAAGGCGGGATGAGGACCGACCTCGATAGCATAGGCGATCTGGTCATCGGCCTGCATGGCATTCTTGATGGCGTCGGAGAAGAGAACGGCGTTCTGCATATTATCCTGCCAGTAGGTACCCTGGAGAGCCTCGCTGGATTCGACAGGCCTGGCATCCGCAGTGACGCTGGAGAACCACGAGCACGACGGGTTGGGGTTCGATTTGACGGTGACACCACATGCCTTGAGGGCGGCAACGTAGGGATCACCGCAGGGGAGCATGTGGTGAGAGTGGTAGGCCGTGTCAACCTTCAAGACCCTGGAGAACTTCTTCTCCTCGTCAAATACCTTCTTGGCGTGCAAGATGGCATCAATATCGCCGGACAATGTCACGCTGGCTGATGAGTTGTGGGCAGCGATGGCCAGGCGGCCCTTGAAAGCTCTGAGGCGGAGAAGGTCTTGGGCGTCCTCCCATGTCGTTCCAACCGCCATCATGGAGCCCTTCCGGTTGGTAGCTGCATTTCCAGCAAGCTCGGCGTACACTCCGCGGTAATAGGCGATGCGCAGGGCGTCCTTGTCGGAAAGGAGACCTGCAGCGTATGCAGCGCCGATCTCACCGGAAGAGTGGCCGACAACAGAAGAGAAGCTGATGCCAGACGATAGAAGGAGATCAACGAGTACTATCTGGATGGCTGTGCATAGGGGCTGCGACAGAGCCGCCTCGGCAATCCGAGAGGTGTCTGCTCCTGCGAGCATCTCCTTCTCCAGACTCCACCCAGGACGGTCTGCTTCGGGGAGGGAGTTCAGGAAGCCCTCGAGCTCCCGAACACGCGTGGCAACGAAGCGAGATGACCTGATGAGGTCAGCTCCCATAGCAGGCCACTGAGCACCTTGTCCAGTGAAGACACCCAGGACACGTGGGGCATCCGTGATCTTGGTGTTGGACCGGATGCCAACGGCAGTACCTGGGGTCTTGGTAAGAGGAGCGAGTTTTTCGTCAATCTTGGTCTTGAGCTCCTCAATCGTCGCCGCAGAGATGGAAAGCTTGAACGACAGCTGACTCCTACGAGACTGCAGGGTCCAGGCCAGGTCGGCCGGGTGTATGTCGGGAGCCTCTCCGAGATAGTCAGAGTAAGCCTGCAACTGGGCAACCAGTGATGCCTCGGAGGCGGCAGAGAAGACAAAGGGGGTAAACGGAGCCCTCGACGGCGTTTCCTGCACTTCAACTTCTGGGCGGTACTCCTCGAGAATGGCGTGGGCATTGCTACCGCCGAAGCCAAAGCTGTTGACACTCACACGACGGGGAACACCCTCGGGCAGCTTAGGCCAGGGCTGGAGAGTGGTGGGCACCTTGACACCCTCGTAGAAGGGCTTGATTGCGGGGTTGAGATTGTTGAACAGCAGGTTGGGCGGGATGAATCCTTGCTGGATGATTCCAGACCCTTTCAGGAGGCCTGCAAGACCGGCGGCACCCTCGGTGTGACCGATGACAGTCTTGACAGAGCCGACGTAGAGGGGAGCATCCTCATCAGCAAACTTGCCAAGACACTCGTGGATGGCAGCAGCCTCCTTGGGGTCACCAGCCTTGGTGCCGGTGCCGTGGGCTTCAAAGAACTGGGGACGATCATCGGGATTGTTGGCCGGGTCCAGCCCCGCTCTTCGGTAGGTCTGGCTGATGAGCATGGCCTGGGCCTCAGTGTTGGGGACAGTAATACCATTGGAGAATCCGTCCTGATTGGCACCAGTCTCACGGATTACGCACTCGATGTGGTCACCGTCGGCAATGGCATCGCTCAGACGCTTCAGCACGATGGCGGCAACACCCTCACCACGGGCGTAGCCATCAGCCTCGGAGTCCCACATGCGAGAGCGACCAGTTGGGGATAACATCTTCATCTTGCTCTCGAAGATGAAGACCTCTGTGATGAAACGATAGATGTTAATCAAGTGCATACGTCTAACTAAAAATGCAGGAGATGGAAAGCTTACCAGGTCCGAGGATGACCTGAGTTCCACATGCTACAGCGACACGAGACTCTCCAGTACGCAGAGCCTGAACACCTTGGTGGACGGCAATGAGACTGGAAGAGCAAGCCGTGTCGATGGTCATGGAAGGGCCATGCCAGTCAAAGAAGTACGAGACACGGTTGGAGATGATGGCACGGTTGGTACCAGTGGCGAAGTAGGTGGGTATCGTGCTGAGGTCCCTCAGAAGGGCATCATTGTAGTCAACGCCCATGGTGCCAACATAGACCGCAGTATCGGATCCACGGAGGGCCTTGAGGGTGTGGCCACCAGCCTCCATGGCCTCGTAGACGGTCTCGAGGAGAAGACGCTGCTGGGGATCAATGGAATCGGCCTCATTGGGGCTGATGTTGAAGAAGGCAGCATCAAAAGCCTTGAGGTCGGCATCGTTCATGAGGTATGAGTGACGGACATTGGTGGTACCGTGGTGATTACCATCCGCATGGTAGAACCCAGTGGTGTTGAACCTCTCAGGAGGAATCTCGCAGACGACATCTCGCGGCTCGCGGATCAGGCTCCAAAGCTTGGAAGGGGAGGTGGAATCACCCGGGAAGCGGCAGCCGCTGCCGACAATAGCAATAGGCTCAGGTTGACGGGCCATTGTGAATCAGGTAAGGATTGTTTTGTATGTATGGGCAGAATTAAGCCTGTTCTCGCGCAGGTGTCGAAGCTTTGATCAGGGATATCCAGGTAAGACTCAGCCTACCAAAAACATTTGTCGTTGAATGACTCAATGTTCTACACTTTGTTGAACTATCGATAGTTTTATGTGAATAAGTAGAAGATGGTGAGAATGTATAGTGAAGGAAAGTCGAAGGCTGATGGAAGCTGAACGATTTCTCTGAGCTAGAGGATAGGGCACGATATTTAGGGACCGGTTTCCAATACCTTACGCTCTACATGCGAGACATTCGGTCTGGTCTATGCATTGTATGTACAGGCCGAACGATGATGAGGATATCTGAATTGAAGAACTCCGAAGTCAGCACCGAACTATACGTAGATACCAATGTGAGGAGAAATGGCCATCACGAGAATGGGTACTGTCGTATATAGCCTATATTTCCATGGTGATGGATCTTTGCGCCGGCTATCACACTGCACGCTGCACATGTAAGCTGCCTAATGATGATACCACTGCACGTGGAGGAGACGTCTCCCAGACGCTGCTAATAAGCCACGAGGAAGGGAAGTTCACCCATTAACACGCCGATCACCGGACGTGGGGGCGGAACCGACCTAATTGAGGCACGTTCGGATCGAGTGGGATGAGAAAAGGGGTTCGGGGGTCTTGGGTACATCAAAACATAGTAGAATCACTGAACTATGAAGAGTCATTTCTGCAATTTATCTGCGGGTCCCAGCAGTTCTGAGACCGGATACTTGTTTCTCCTAGAGGTAGAGTTGCAATGGATAAAGGGTCGGTTCTCGAGAAAGGGTGTGCTCAGGGTTGGTGAATAAATAAATCACCGACAATCATCTAACCGTCAGTGTTATTCGGCGGTTTCGGTACGACAACCAATAACCCCCCTGTCATCACTACCATTACGTGCCCAAGATCTGCGGAGAAGTTACCTTGACGAGGGCATTGGCGAGAGGCCTCTTTCTTATTTCATTAATTTTTACCTTCCTTCTCCTTTGAGTCATTATCTTGATTGAAGGTATCATCACTGGGACCTCGGGAGATATTGGATTTAGGACGATACATATGGCTCGTGGAAAGTAGCAATAGCAACGCTCCCCCACATCAATACTATGTATAACCTGCAGGAGCCCCCAAGCCAGGCCACTACAGAGACGTCACTCCTACACACGAGCGTAGAGTGTGGAGCGTCTACTGGTGGATGGACTGATGTATTGTATAGGATGCATTACGAGGCCATTCCGAGATCCCTTCCCGTCGGCAGAAAAGTGCCGGATGTGTGTAGGATAGTGGGTCGTGATAGTAATGTACGAGTAAATCAGCACACCCACTTTTAGAATACCCTCCCTTTTAGGACACGTCTTTAGTTATCATCATATGGGGAGAAAACGAGGACATTATAATAAGACTAAGAGGCTAAGGAACTTATTGTTACGACCCGTTATGCGGCCCTCACGTGCACCCCACTTTTTCCAACATAACCACACCATTGATGTTTCCACTAAGATACGTATTACGGCTAGGTTCACTCCACGGACAGTGAACTACCGATAAACTAGGCTCTAGGTTTATATAGGTTTACCTATAACGTAGTGAACCACCCTAGTATACAGTCAACCTATTCCCCGTAGTCTAGACACTCTCCCCCTAGCTATTAATAATAAAGTCAACGCTTCTATTAAAACTAGTTCCTAATACGAGCACCTACGACTATAACTGGGTTATTGCTTAGTTCGATATCTTAACTATCTCGCTAATATAAAACGACATTATCTCTATCTACCCTGTAGTTCAGAGTTGACCCCAACGTCACACTTATAAGGAATATAATAAAAGGAAGAAGATAAAGATTTTATAATCGGAGCATTTAAATAGGAACTCACTTATTATATAGCTTTTATGAGTATTCATAATAAGGAGACGTTATATATGTCTTAAGTCTAGCTTCATTCAAAGGATAAATACCTCTTTAAGCTAGTCTAGCCATTTAGAAATATTAACAGCTTTAAGCTAGCTATTTAGCTCTTTTCTTGAGTCCTATATCGATGTATTGTGACGTTAGGTTTAGCTCTAAGCTACAGGGTAGATAGAGATAATGTCGTTTTATATAACGAGACAGTTAGGATATCGTACTAAGCAATGAGATAGTTATAGTCGCAGGTGCTACTACTAAAAGGAACTGGGATTTTAAGAGAAGCGTTGACTATGCTATTAATAGCTGGGTAAAGAGTGACTAGGCTATGGAAGTTGGGTTGGTTATATACTAGGTGGTTCACGACTACTGCGGGTGAACAGTTAATGAACCAACTGGTGGTTCGTTGGTGGTTCACGCGAAGCCGCAGTGAACCTGACCGTGATGTCTTCCTAGAGGGTGAATGTGTCAATGGTCTAGTTGTAGTGGAGAAAAGTGGGGTGCACGTGAAGGCCGCATAACGGGTCGTAACACTATATTAACTACTCTAATAGAAGGTACTTTTGACTACTACTAGAAGATGATAGGTTAATAACTCAATAATTGTCTAGGGGTTTATCTATAGTAGTAGGAGGATTATCCTAATCTACCGTTTACTAAACTAGAGGATCATTATTATCGGTCTCCTCTAGGATTCTAAGAGATTATTATCTTTTCTAAGCCCTAGTAGTAATTTTAGAAGGACTAGTAGCTAGGGAAGTATTACTATAATAGGATTTCATAATATAAGCTTTAATAGTTTCTCTTTTCTTATCGAAGAAATCGGAGAGATTGATTTATTAGAGACTGATTAAAAGTAGTAGAGAAAGTAATAAAGTCTTATAGTCAAGAGATAGGAAAGAGATTTAAAGGTTAACTTTAGGGTTAACAATTATTATCATTTATCCCTATATCCCTTCTTTTTAGTCGTTTCTTAGCTACCTCTTTATACTTATTCTTAAATCTTATCTTTTATTTCTTTCTCTTATATATAATAATCTTTATACTTCCTTAGACCTTAGCTAAATCTTTCTTAATTATCTCCTAATGTCATTCTTAGATATAGCTTAATGTAGCTTAGTATAACTTATTATAACTTAATATACTTTGTGGCTTAACACTTCCCTGACTGTCCTTTGTCAGCACTTAACGAAAGTTCTTCGTTAACACTGGACAGTAATATAATAATGTTAAGTATATCGCACTTATTAATATAGGAATTAAGGCTATTTTCTTATTGATTCTAATACTGTTAGTGATATCTATATATAGGGGTAATTGTGACTATAGAAGTGGCCTTTTATCGTTAGGGTTACTGCCGATCGGACAGGAACAACATGTTCCGATCGATGACTCAGCTGTTTGTTCCAACATGCAATCAGACCATACCCCTCCCCGGCCAGTGTCGAGAAGAGGTGGGGGGGAGAGGAGGGGCCGTCGGGTCCTCGGTTTGGGTCCAAAATGTGGATATGCCTTTCTTTCTTTCTTCTCTCTCGATCCCAATCCCTTGTCTTGTTGTCTGGACGTGTGTGGCAGTTACGTAATCAACAGGATGTGGAATGTGGAACGGGGAAATCCGATTTAAAACGAGGAAACATAGGATGAAACCCTAAAACTTGTATCTGGCTTATGAATGTTCTTACAACATGCTTGGCTTGCATGTAATATGTACCAATCCTCGTACGATCATATACTTGAGGCTTTGGACCTCCACCCGGTATCCACGTGTGATACCATCAATTGCTACATCTACAGCAGATGCATACTTCAACAAACATCACCCGACGATTAGTTACGAATGGAGGCAATTGACACCGACCAACACATCTCATAAGAAACACAGCTTCTCTTGCAGTACATGTAGCCAGAGTAAAGAGACATGTATTAAATCTCGTAGTATAGACGTAAATCATTCTAAAAGAACCCATCATACATCACAAACAGGCAAATGTGCATGTACGAAGGACAGGCAAGATAGAAAACAAAAAAACAATGTGTATGATAATTTTAGCAGAAGATAGAGCAAGAAGAAAGAAAAGAAAGGGGCCATGAACTCATATTCGCAATTCGCGCCGGAGTTGGGATAATCGTTGATCAATCTCTGTGTTGAGGTTGTTCATCATCTCCTCACTCCCATGAGACGGTACGGAGTCTTCTAGGGGCGATTCCTTCCCGAGGGGAGTCAGATACCGATTGACAGCCTGCCTTTGACGATCAATAACATAAGAGCAGAGTTGGACAACCGAAACGATACGGATGTCCCCGAACGGGGACGCGGCAGCGGGGCAGTCCATGTCAGCAGCTGATGTGGGGTCACTGCCGCTGTTGGGGCTCTTGCTGAGGAGCAGGTCAGCATCATGCTGCAGCACGATGAGGACAACAACGTAGGTGCTGAGGAGGAGTCCGTGGCACGCACTGACGAGGGGCCTCGCAACGACAGCGGAGTACTGGTCAGGACCTCTGAGAGACGCCATCATGGAGGCGGCCGCACTAGACCTGGGGATGGAAGGCATCTCGAAATACCCCTTAGCGCTTACGGGAGGAGTGGAACCCGGTTTGGTGAGGTGCAAGGACTGCAATATGTATAGGAGCTGGTGGGACGCGGCAAAGGCATCGCGAACCACATCCCCGAGCCTGGGGACGAGGCCATCTTCGAGAACGTGGTCGTGCTGTCCGTACTCCATGCTCAGGCCTTTGGCAGAGACGTGGGCGACCCACAATGACACAGACTCGAAAGCCGTGTCATTCAACATGAGGCCGCCCAAGCTGCATCTCCCATCGTGCGATCCCATTGACTCTGTGCCGGCGGTCGGCTCGGCCAGCACACAGCTGGCGCTCAGAAGTGGGTGAAGGCGCATGCTCAGCTCCGAAAGCTGTGCAATGCAGGAGGAGGGTGTGGATCTGTCCAGCTGGGATGGGGACAATGATTTCTCAAGGCAGCTGAGATCGATCTCACCGGGGCTGGCCAGTCTGGCCCTGATGACCTTGTCGCTCTTGCTCCTGCCAGCCCGAACGAGGCCTATGCTGCCGGTGCTGCTGCTGGATTCGTGACCTCTATCGATGGAGATGCCCTCGGGCTTATCGCCTACTCCGGAGAAGGAGTCCCTGCTGTTTATCCAGGAAGGGGGGAATGCATCACAGAAGATGGAAGCATCGAACGCTCCGCTCTCGAGTTGCGGATCGATAGCCATTGGAGCATGCAGACCGTTCCTCGGCTCGGACATGCTCATTGGGAATCCGTCCATGCTCATGTCGGCTGTCCAAGGCCAGTCACTCGTGGCGGATGATGACGAGGATGATAAGGAGTCTTCTGCGGTCTTGTATGCACGGCCTACTAGGCCCATGTTCGTGTCGGTGGAGATGCTGGTACTGGTCTTGGAACGGTCACTTGTGGCAGTGATAGGGGCATAAGCAGGTATGGGGGCTGTCGTCGATGATGACGATGTCCGTTGCTTCCTCGGGGAGACGGGCTGCTCTGATGTGCGGTAACGACTTGGGCGGCCTCTAGGTAGGCTGAAGCTGTAGACACATTGAGCGTCCTGCCGAAGACAGCGATTGCACGCACCGGTATCGCAGTTGCCTGAACGAGTGCAGCGAAGCTTCTGGCCGTGGCAGCGGTCACAAGACTGTCTCCTTGCGGTTGTTGCAGATTCCAGGCTTGCATTGCTGGGAGCCATGCCTTCCGCCGGTTCTCAAACAGTTTAGATATTGATCAAGCTGGCACAAGACAACGATCGCATGGTTGCATATGCCACTGCGCTTAAAGGATGGGAAGTCTGTGCTTCTATGGCACATCGAATGACTGAAAGAAGACGGCGGGGAGTGGGGGTGTGTAGTAGGTGAGTTTTGCGACCGGGAAGGCAAGAATAAATGTATTTTCGCTTCTGCATCAGCAGCAGAATGTAGGCCTTGGGATACATATACATTTATATAGCCCGTTCTGATCAAACACGACTAGCTTCACTTTGCTATTGAATACTTTAGCCATGACGGGCCCATCGGGGCATGTCGTCTGACTACATGCACTTGAGGCCTTGATATTGAACCCGGCATTGGACCTGACCCTGCGTCTGGCCGTATATCTTCTATTCGCCAGTGGGATGCACGTATGTACGAGTACGGGAACACAAGTACATGCGTTCGTACTGTAGCATCACTGCGAGGTGATTGATTCTGCGGCTTAGCTTGCAGGGGCTTAGTTGAGAGCCTTTATCTCTGCAAATAGGGTAGAAGCACATAATATGCAGGTAACATCGCTTGACTGATAATAAACGCAGAAGCGGCACGGATTGGGTTGGGAGGGGGGAACCACAAATCTGTGTACAAGTAAACCACTGTGATTTTAGGTCGTAAGATCACAGGTAGGCGTTGCATCACCGTACCGGCTAATACGAGTGTAACGGTGCCTTCTTACTGTGATCTATATGTTTGTATGTGTTTGCATCAAACAGCCAAATGCAACCGGAAGAAGGGATAATCGAGGACCGAGGTTGTTGCCTTAGGATAATATAACAAACATTCTTATATATAACAATCACGATAAGAGTTATCCTAGATTAATATAATATATCGATTAGTATAAACATAAAGGCTCTTCCTAAAGAAGGAGCTAATGCACCTATAATATCGTAAGGTAACGATATAACTAGGGAAGACGAAACTAACACTAAGTAATTTAATCCTATTAACTATTGATTCATAACGTAAAAATATATCTAATAAAAGAATATTAACCTTAACTTTATTAATAGCGTTTTTTATATATTACTATCACTATTATAGCTAACGAAGGAGGAGGGCTAAGTGGTTATCTAACTTTAAATCCACATAATCTAATAGGGATAATATTATACTAATAAGGAGAGATAGTAGGTGTGACGTTAGGGTCAACTCTAAGCTACAGGGTAGACAGAGATGATCGTCGTTTTATGTTAGCGAGACAGTTAGGATGTCGAACTAAGCAATAAGGCAGTTATAGTCGTAGGTGCTACTATTAAAAGGAACTAGGGTTTTAGAAGAAGCGTTAACTATATTATTAATAGCTAGGTAAAGAGTGACTAGACTATAGGAAATGGGTTATCTATATACTAAGGGGATCGTATAGAATAGATTATTAGGATCACGGTGGTCATCGTAGTAAGTGCGGTAATCTATAATGTACGTACTATTAGGATTACGCTATTGTTAGTGGTGATCCTAGTGATCCTAAGAAGGTTTGTAGTTAGTCGAAATGCGTATATAATAAATAGGAAAAGAAAAGTAGGGTGTACGTAAAGGCCGCATAATAGGTCGTAATATAATGCCCTTCTCCTAAAGATCTTGTCCTAAGATGTTACGGCCCGTTATGCGACCTTCACGTATACCCCACAATTTTCTTACTCATTACTATCGTTTCCACTTACACATAACAAAAGTGATCACCTTAATCACTTAGCGATCGTAGCGATCACTAACTAAACGATCACCTTAATTACCTAGCGATCGCAATGATCACTCTTCACGATTATTGTATTCCTTTAGCGATCGCCTAGTATATAGTCAACCTCATTCCTATAGCCTAGTCACTCTTTACCTAGCTATTAATATAATAGTTAACGCTTCTTTTAGAACCCTAATTCCTTCTATAATTAGCACCTACGACTATAACTGCCTTATTGCTTAGTTAGACGCCCTAACGGCCTCGTTAATATAAAACCGACACTTCTCTAACTACCCTATAGTATAGAGTCGTACTAACTATTATATATCAATAGCTCTTATTTAGACCGTTACTATATTAAATACTAAGTAATACCTAATACTATATCTTCCGCTATACTTACGTCCTCTAATGTTAGAAATAATAATAATAATACCTAAAAGGATCTAGGTAAGACCCTTAAGCTTAAGAGCCCTAACTATTATATACTATATTTATTATTAGCTCTTTTAAAGCTAGTAGCTTTATAATATAATCGAATACGATTAATTCCTATAGCTATAGTAGTACTAGTAATAGTTTTAGTTCTCTATATAGTTTATATTATACTAACTTACTTCGTATATATATTTTATAATTATTAATAATATTTTCTATATCTTTCTTAATTCTTAGATAGTCGAATATTTATCGTATCTAATTAAGGGTTTTCTATATTCTTTAGTATCTTAATGTTTAGTAGCTATATATATCGCTAATAGTTTTCTCTTATAATTCTAGTAGTAGCTATATTTATTCGTTCTAGATTAGTAGTTATTCTAGTTTAATATCCTTTAGATAGTTATCTAGTTTCTATTTTTTATAATATTATAGATTTCTTTAGTAATTAAATCGTTAGGTTTAATAGTAAACGTTAACGTATTTAGTATACGATATTTAAGATTCCTATTATCGTTAGTATAGAGGATTTATCCTAAGGCTCTTAGTTCTTTAGTGTTATAATTAAGTCTCCTACTAAGAGCGTTAGCTCTTCTATTTTCTAATCCTTTTTAGTAGATAATCTTAAAGTTAAAGTTAGCTAGATACTTAGTGTATTATAACTATCGCTTACTAAGTTCTTATATAGTCGTAAAGTAGGCGATATTCTTATAATCTATATATACCTTAACCTTATACTTACTTCTAGTTAAGTAGTGCTTAAATTCCTTAAATAAATTAATAATAGCGAGGAATTCTTTATTATATATTAGATAATTAAGTTTAGCGCTATAGAGTTTCTTTAAATAGAAGGTAATTAGTTATAATCGTCCTTCTTTATCTCTCTATATAATTTATACTCTAAGGGTAAAGTCTAAAGCGTCGGTCTCTAGCTTAACTTACTATTTAGGGTCGAATATAGCTAGTATAATATTAAAGGTAATGATTTCTTTAAGTCTATTAAAAGCTTCTTAGTAATTATTTATCTATTTAAACTCTTACGTTCCTTTAGTAATATTTATAAGGGGTATTACGATTTTTCTAAAATCTCTAATAAATCGTTAATAGTAATTAGCGAATCTAGTAAAGGACTAAATATCCTTAATATTCCTTAATATTAGCTAGTCGCGTACTAACTCGATTTTCTTAAGGTCTATTCTAATTTCGTTATATATAATAATATGTCCTAAGAACTCTACTTCCTAGACGTAAAAATAATATTTTTCTAGTTTAACGAGGAGTTTCGTATCTTATAGCGTTTAAAGTACCTTATAGACATATTCCTTATATTCTTTAAGGTTATCTAAGAAGATTAGGATATCGTCTAGGTAAGCTATAATAAAGATATTAAGGTACTCTTATAGTATATTATTAATTATTCTTTAAAAAGTAGTAGGAGTATTAGTAAGTCTAAAAGGCATTACTAAA